AACTCTGCTGTCACCGTGGACGGTTCGGGATGAGTGCACATGACCTCTTGTTCAAAGTCAGGGGTGACTGTCTCGCCAATCACGTTCACGGCAAACTGACCAGCCTCATTGGTGGACAAAGGCACCACGACTTTCTCATCAAACAATGTCAACTGTTGTTGTCCAAAGTCGATGACAGCCTTGAGGGTTTGCAGCGCGTTCCTAGAGATCAGGAACGGGGCATGTCCCCTCACAATGGCTGTCCTGATGGTCCCCTTCTTGCCACCCAAGAAAACTGGTAGGCGGATCACGGTGTGGGTTGTCTCTTTCTCTCCATTGCCGAACCTGAAGTGGTTCACCTCGTGCAGCTCGGGAGGCTCTGCGATGTTGGCTGCTTTCCATAGACGTTGAAACTCCTGCAACGTCTGACGTCCGATGATGGAGCGTCCGCATCCAGAGTCCAGGATACCATATCCCGGTGAGCTCACGAGCAGTACTTCGGGAAGCACGGTGGAGGACTCCAGACGATCAGAATGTCGCTGTCGCAACATGTCCAGAGTCGACATGGGAGGCGGAACAACCGCTGCCATAGCCACAAAGTCTTCGTTGTCCCGCATTGCATAACCATCAGACTTGAGGTCAGAGGCTTCGGTCACCAAGGCTGCTCCGGCTTCACGCTTGGCAGAACTGTGAGGGTGACCTTGAGAAGAACTTGCTGCTTTGGGCTGAGTGCACTCCTTCGACCAATGGCCAACTGCTCCACAGCGATGACACTTTGTTCGGCGTTTCAACTCTGCGATCTCGACGCGATAGCTTCGTTTCAAGTCTGAGGCCGCTGCGAACTTGCGGGTCCTTTGCAACTTGTTGAGCTCTTGGCGTCGGTCCTTCCAGGAGATGGCCAAGGCTTCGGCCACTTCACGTTCATCATAAATTTCATCCTCTTCAACATCTCCAGCAGAGACATTGTGTTCAGCGAGGAAGGATTCAACCTCCTTGGACAGATCGGGGTCATCGTCGTGCTCAGGACCTTCGGTTGCAGTGTGTCCGAAGTCCCCTTCAACCATACCTGCGCCGAAGTTCTTCTTTTTGACCACGAAATCCGGGTAGCAGGAACGCATGGCACGTCCGATCTCTTCCCGCTTCAACACTCCAAGGCTGCGAGCAAGGACAACTGCTTTCTGCTCATCCGTCAAGCCAGATCTATTCAAAATCAACCAGCCGCGAGCTTCTTCAGGAAATGTCACATTGACTTTCCTTTCACACTTTTCAAACAATTCCGAAGCCCGCGAAATCCAGGTCTTCAAGCTCTCTCCGTCAGCAGCCTTCAGGTTGAAGATCTCGGTGAGGGTCTCGCTCATCTCATCGCTGGTGTCCTTTTGAGGAAACCGCTTATCCAAGCGGTCGAGCAGCACTTTTTCTCCTCCCTCTTTCTGGTACGAGGAAGGATCCAGGTGTTCCACACACTCCAATGCCTTGCCTGACAACAGAGTGTATATGTAGGCCCCACGGGCCTTGGGTTGCACCTTGTCTTCCAAGGTGAGCAACTTGTTCAACACCCACACTTTCCATCTACGGTACTCTTTGGCGTCCTCGGTGTCACCTGAGAACGAACGGAGGCTTCCACTGCCTTCCAACGATGCCGCCATGGCGTTCACGTGTCGCGCTGAGATCCTACTCAGCGGGAGCCTAGGATAAACCTAGGCGCCGCTACCAATGTCGAAACATTGAAAGCCGACTCCTATCGGCACGAAAGGGCGTCTTTTCCTAGGCTTCAGCCGAGAGTCCCTGATATGTCAGCCGAACGATCGATCCACCTGTCCTCTGAGATGGATGGCGTTCACGTGTGATTTTCACATATATATATATACTGCACTTACTTATGGAACCTCCAAAATAGTGCAGGCTGCACGATGTGAATCTTGATGTGCTGATTTCGTCGCAGGCGCTGCACTTTGAGCACTTCCACTAGCAGATTTCGTGGCAAGAGTGAGTGGCAGTTTGTGCACTGGAAGTGCAGATTTCGTGGCAGGTGGAGCACTTTCTACACTGGAAGTGCAGATTCCATGGCAGGTGCAGCGCTCTGTGAACGGATATTTTTTGATATCAATCAGTTTTCTTTTTGATAGAGTGTAGTATTTTTTAAAATGTTTTCATTCTTTTTGATATCCCGGCCCTTCTGACTCAGACTCGTCTTCGTCCTCATCGTCCGACAGCCAGGCTGCAAAGGAGTCACAGATTGCCAAAGACCAGCTCGAGGAGAAGAGGGCACAGGCCAAAGCCCTGAAGTCCGAGTTCAAGGACATTTTCACTGCTCTTTGCCACACAACAGCCGAGCTCAAGAAGGCCAAGGAGCAAGTCAAGGAGCAAAGTCAGACCATTACCAGCCTGAGCGCAGAGAAACTCTTGCGAAGCAACCACGAAGAACTGGCTCGCCCTGCCAGTGGGAGCCGGCAAAGTTTGTCCCATCAGCCTGAGCTCATGCTCAGCATCGGCCAAAAAACCACTACCTTGCTTGCAGCATAGTGCGCCCTGCTGTCTTTGAAATGTTCCTTCAACAAAAAGATCTAACATTCACTGGCAACAAATTTTGCAAATTCCAACGTCACCCTTTCAATGTCCATCCAGAAACAAGCAGTCAAACATAGCAAGAAACATTCTGAATATGGTTGCATCTGCGCATGTTTTTCTTCTCATGTGATCACAATCACGTACAAAGACCACAATATGGTCAAAACAGTGCTGTTCAATTTGTGCTCTAAAATCTCACCAAACCATTGCAAATACCAATGAGATTGTTTGAACGGTAGGTGGGGGGTTGTAGCATCTATATTATAAATATATATGTAGAAATAGAACATAGATGTGTACTGTACTTTATATATAAACACACACATATATATATTTAGATATGCATTGCATCTAAATCTAAAGACATATATACTACACAAAAAACTCACCATCTCAATCAGTGCCCTGCTCTGGCAAGGACCCGTGCAGTTGGCAAGACATGGATCCTCATCAAGAGCTGTCCTGGGGGTTGCGCCATTTACTTTCCAACTAGGCTTCTCTGATCCCCTCCCGCCAACACCTTAAGGTTTTGACTATGGGCTGACCGGGGTAGACCCGGAACCACTTTAGTCTTTATTCGGCTTCAAACACTTGTCACAAAAAAATTAGAGATCTGCGGTATCTTCGTTCAATCATGAGCGAATTGCACACGGTTGTGCCAAGGAGGGTTTGATCTAACATACTCATAACATATGGCTGAGGGCTTGATCTCCAGTCTCAGTTCCGTACTCAAAGGTTGTGATATTGTTTGCGGTGGGTCTAATGAGTCTAGTGCTTGCTGTTTGGCTCTGGGGTGCGCAAACAGAAAGGGATGGAAAAGTATGTCTCATGTGGATGAGATGTGGGGATCAATGACTTGCATGCTGTGGATGCCAGACACTTGGCGTTTGTAGGAATTGACCTTGGCGCTTGTAGGTACAGACGACATTGGCGTTACCACAAGGTCGATAAGATGTGGTACTTCTGGCAGGCCCGGTCCTTGGAGATGTGGGGTTGCGTAGTTCTTCTTGCCTTGTTCAGTTTTTGATCCTCTTCACTCTCCATGTTGCAGTCTCTTCCTCTCCCAGGCCGGGTGTTGATGCCAGAAACAGGGTGGGTGGATGGATAGGGTCCCAGGGTGGGTGGATGATACATGAATCCCAAGGCGACGGAGGCCCACTGGGTGATGTTCGATCCCCACAGGTGGGATCGGAAGTTCCTGAAGCAGGCGAGGGAACTGAACTGGTGACGGTTTGCTGTTGAACATGGGTTGAGTCCTGCAGTCCTGTGCTGACACAGTTCCAGGAAGAACCCATAGACCAGGGGGTGACCCTTTGAACATGTGCTTCAGATGAGCAAATCAAGCAAATGCAATTTTGACCAGCAGACCCTCCGTGTATTCAAGTTGCCAAGGTGGACGACGCATGTTTTATGACGGAGGACCTGGAATGGGCGCACTTGCCAGAAAACCCGTGTGGAGGTTTGTGTGAAGCTTGAAGCTTCGTGAACGGCTCAGAGCAGCTCTTGCCTTGCACACGACCCAAAGCTCCGATGGTGAATTCGTGGGCACGAGCCCTTACAGTATTGTTTGTCCCGACCTGTCATGAACAGGGGCTCAAGGTCCACTTGCTTGGCAGGAGGAGGTCAGATATGCACCGCTACAGGGCTGAAAGCTGTTCCTGCTGGCTACAGGCGGATGGCTGGTTGAAGGCCTGGGAATGGGAACCATGTTTGATTTCGAGGTGTTCGAAACATCTCGAAACACATTGAAGAACAGCAAAGCGAGATAAGGGCTCAACGGCTCAAGTGTCATTCATTTCACTTGCTTTCTTCGCTCGCTTCGCAGACTCAGGCTTCACGCTGCCTCAGGTGAGCCGAGAGATCGGACGAATGGCGATGGGCTGATTTGCTGGAGCCGGAAGACTGGCAAGGAGAGCAGGCAATAAGTAGAAGATTCTGACAACTCTTGTGCCGGGTGCCCATGGGTGACCCTTAGAGGCCTCCTGTAAGGAGTTTCCATGTGAGATTGCTAGCTCTTCAAGCCTTCTTCATGAGCCCCAGCTCCTTAAACTGGCCCCTTTCGCTGAGTCAGGCGCAGTATGTGAAAAAGGCTGCTTTAGCGAGGGCAGAGGATACTTAGCATGAGCCAACAAATGTTCAGACAGTATGCAGAGAAGCCCTAAGACTCAATGAATCAGGGCAGATACTGCAAGTAATGACTGCCATCGCTTTTAGGGTGGAGGCAATCGCTACTAGGGTGGAGGCCATCGCTACTAGGGTGGAGACCATCGCTACTAGGGTGGAGGCCATCGCTATTAGGGTGGAGGCCATCGCAATTTATCAGGGTGGAGATGGGTGGAGGCATGTAAGCGTATCTCAGTAAGACCATCCAGTCGGCTTGACTTCCCTGCAGCGCTGCAGCTGTCCGACTGACTCGTTCCTGACTCGTCCCCGACTCGGTCCATCCGTTGGTCCAAGCGATCGTGGGCTTTTGATAGTGGGGCCCCATGGCAGAGAGGAGCATCGTCGAGAGGTGGGATATCTGGACGTGAGCAGGATTTTGTGTTCAGAGCCAACTATGGCTGCTATGAAGCTTTTCTAAAGTGGTCAAACAGTCACATCCCGATGCCTGGATCAAAATTCCAAATCATTCAGTGCAAGCTTCTAGGTTGGAGGCCATCGCTTCTAGGTTGGAGGCTCATTCAAGAAAGTTTACATTTTGTAGCTGAATGCATCGAACTGCTGAGCATCGCCAGGGGCCTGCAAGCCTGAGCGTGAGGCTGGGGTGAGCAGGGTTCCCCCCCCACAGGATTCCGACGAAGATGGCACTACAGTGGACCTTTCACGAAGGTCTCAATGGAACGAGGCAGATTTCGGGTCCCCATTGGCCGCTGGAGGGCCAAACAGTTCAGGAAAGTTCGTTCTTGACCTCCTGTGGGTTGAGGATGTGATATCTCACTTTCGAAGTTCTGAAGTTCTGAACATTCCTATTAGATGGAGATGTCCAACAATTGGGATATAAAGCTGGTTTTGCCTTCATGAACGTCTGGACTTTGAAGCAAGAGGACAGCAAGAAGCACATGGGAAGACAGATCCCCTCAGACGCTGTCACCAACTGCGTGCCACCCAGCGCACCGCAGCGCACGTAGGGACGCAGCGCACCTTGACACCTTGACACGCAGCGAATCGATTTTGGACGAAGGGAGGACCTGCGGAGGTCACTCCGGCTGTGTCCTGGACGACGATGTTTTTGTTCCACTTGGTGCAGTTATTGCTCTTGGAGAAGGGAAGACACTATGCCATGATGTCCCAACATGTTGGTTTTAATGTAGCCTGGCCACACTGCCAAGTAGTCTTTTTCTTTGGAACGACATGTTGAAACACATTGAACAACAATATTTAACCTGAAGATGTCAGAGTGTGATATCAGTGAGCAGTCATCCAAATTGTGTGAATTGGAAGTTCCAAGCAGTCATCTCCCCCAAACCAGGATCGCCCAGAAGGCCGTGAGCCATATTTCTCTGCGCCCGTGAGGCCATGGGCGTCACAAGCTCGGTGGACTGCAGGTGTGGACCGGAGACCACGAGACGACGAGATGAACGTCACCTGTTTGGAGATGAATGGAACATGACCTCTTTCTCTCCAAACAGACCTGGAGTTGGCATGGCCATAAGTAGCAATAGGCCATATAAGTAGGCCTCTTGGAAGACAGTGGTTTTCCTCCAGAAACCGGAGAGGCAGTTCTCAGTGTTGCCTTTCAGGGGCCTAGAGAATCCGTATGGAATTCGGCTTCGGAATTCACGGATGAAGAAAGAGATCCAAGGTTTCAGATGGTTTCAGTATCATTCAGTCTAGTTTCACAAGCCCAAACCTTGGTTTAAGCTGAAGTATTTTAAAGCCTTGGTTTCAAACGTATGTTTTTTGAGCTCTAGCCTTCTTGATTCGTTAAGTCAGTTTAAGCTTCAAAAGTTCGCGTCGGATCATCACGAGGATCGGATCATCACGTGTTCGTGACCGGTGGTGAAACCATCCTTCGTTCGGTGGTCGAATCGACCAGGCCCGGTTGGGGATGCTGTACGGATGCTCCGGCCAGCGACCCCAGTCCGGGAGTTTATTCGAACAAGCGACTGGTGAAACGAACATTTGGAGCAGGAAAAGAGGGCATCAGATGGCACATGGCGGCACCCACTAGCCTCTGGTCCTGGTCCACCTCCTCCTCTGTTGGCGGTTGGGGAAAACGTGGGACGTGGCATATGGCAACAAAGGGGCGACTTTATTTGCGCTTCTTCGTGTCTTAGAGGACAGAGCAGCCATGGTTCTCACTGTCACTGTTTTGACCCTATCTTGTTATATCTTGTTTCTTCTGTGTGCTGATGGCTGCCATGGATTCTGTGTGACTTCGGCAGACCAGCTCCAGCGGTTTCCGTCAGGAGCAGACCAAGCTCGAGTGCGTCGCTGAAGGTGCGACTGGCAACGATGACAAGCAGCGACCAAAAGCGACCAAAGCATGCACCCACCTTGCTGGTGGACTCTTAGCAGCCGCAGTCATTTTTGAAGCACAGAGAAATTGTTCCGAGATGTTCCCATTAAGACGAACTACTGTAAGTCAGTAGGAAAACCAGAGTGTGTTCGTGATCGCATTGTGAAGCCGTGGATGCATGTGTCATTGGATGAGGTCCAGATGCCGACAGAGTTGTGGTTTCGTGTTCGGGGTCCCAAGACCGACACATGTTGCCCATGCCCCCATGCCTTGCGTACAGTTCTCCACCTGTTTTGAGCTGTTGGACGACAGAACAGTGAGATGGCCAGACAGATCACATTTGTTGGGCGGCAACAGAGCAGGCATGTGACTCCGCAAGGCTGATCCGGTCGTGGCTTTAACAGAAATTCTAAGACTCGAAGCCATTTTTCTCAATCTCCTTGAGTATTTTGAGTCAAGTCACTGCCAGGGACCAGCATCAACAGCCACGCATCTCATGTGAGGTCGGAAGCTCATCTGAGGTTGAAGGTGTTTGATGGTCAGTTCTCACTAACGGCTAACTCGAACTCGAACTTCGTTCTTTTTTTCACTAAACATCTTCACATATGACGGGATCGAACGTCGGAAGAACCATGGAGTGTGACGGTGCGAAGTCCTGGCGTTTTTCGTGACGTTGGACGTGCGACGTTGGGCCGTTTTTTCGCTCGGCAGAGCGGTGGAACACCGAGACGGCTCCGAGCTCAGGTCAGAGGCCAAGGCCGAATATAGGACCGAGTTGGGGGTGGACACCGAAGGGTGAAATCGAAGGAAACCAAGTGAAGGGCGCCAGTTCACCTTGGCGCCAACAGATGATTCGGTGGACATGGACATCTTTGACACGCCACGAAGCCTTGAGGTTGAAATGCCATGACATGCCATGACATGCTCATCCATGGCTCATCCTTTGCGTTTCTGCAGAAGACTTTCCAAATGTTTCAATCGTTCTCTCGACACGCCCCCTCTTCTCACCGGGTCTTGGCTGCGCCTCGGGTCTTGGCTGCGAGGATTCGTTTCTACAATTTCAACATGGGCAACAGCTCGAGACTCGGCTCGCTCGCTCTCTCTCTGGATGTATGCATCACAACTGACTCTGGAGACCTCCACCCAAAACTGACCGGGAATGTAGGGAACGGGAACGAGTGAGTGAACCAATTCCGTTTCCAGGAAGTCTCAAGAAATCCTTTGGCAGCGTCATCTGTCATTTCTAGAAAACACCAGTCCGAAAAAATGGACAATCTTTTCCGTTTTCTCCCTGGCTCTTTGTGTCAGAGGAACGGCACCGACTATCCCTGAAGGCTCCGAGTTCCGCTCCTTAGATGAGCTTCAGGGTCCAGGCCGCAACTGATGGTGAATTTGCCTGTGAGAAGCTCCAAAGATGCAGCCTACTCTCAAAGTTGGCATGGCCTTGACAGCATAGATGAATCATGATGAATCCTTTTACATGCATAAAACAGACATAAAACACATTACAAATGACATATTGCAAATATGGTAAAATATTGTAAATATTCTATAAATTAACAACATTTGAACAAACCGTTCAATTTCCGTTGGTTTCCTTTGCATCCTTTTGTGTTCTTCACGCAGGTGGCCGTGGAGACTTTGCCAGCTTTACCGACGGCCTCGCCGACGGCTCCGCCTGCGACGTGTCCTTCGCCACCTTCGTGGAGGCCCATCTCGATGGGGGAGCATGGACACGCATGAGTTCCGTAGTGCAGCTTGACAAGCAGCATTTATATGTAAGAAGCTCAACTTGACAGGGTCTGGAGGGTTAAAATCTTTCAGATTCTCAAGATTTCCATGCCAGACGCGGCTGAACTTCACGGAGTGGGTGCAGCAGTACCGTGCGAGGACACTTGCTGACCGGTTCTGGGAAGGGGGACGCCAAAGAGAAACCATATTGATTAGTGTATATAATCAAGGTGTTTTTGTGAGTGGTCATCATGCCCAGCGGTGGGCAAGCTTGGATTGTGCGACGTTTGTTTTCCCACATTCTGCAAGCCGCCATTGAACAGGATCATTGTTGGTTTCACGATGTCATGAGAGCTTCAATTCTAGGACACAAGACATCCGCCTCAAATCTTTCGGCATTTTCAGAACGCATAGCAAAACGTCATGTAAAGTGAGATGCAATCAGTTGTGTTCAATCTATATTCATAGTTGATTGGACTTTGGCAGTGAACCAGACCGAACCGGATATCACGTTCAATCCTTCGCACTTGAATCCCAAACTCCCGCGCTCTGTGCAGGAGTGCATCCAAGCTGGATAGCCTGCTCGCGCAGAGTGCACGAAGGGAGGCGAAGATCGGATCATTCCATTCAACGAAAACACAAGTGCATCCTTCAAAGGTGAAAAGGTGGATCTTTCAATTCTGCTTTGACACTCTTTAGAACTCTTGAGAAACACACGAAAACACTCTGGAAGGTTTTTCAACTGACATGTCTGAAGCCGCCGGTCAGTGTTTCAAGAGCAACACCAACGTCATGCTCAGCTTTGTTGAAGGCGGGGTTCTTTCGGGGCGGGTGGGTTGTCGGGTCGCCAGTCCCTGTATCTTCAGTCCCAGGCAGTCGGCGAATGTTGACTACTTCAAGAACCCCTTGGAATCAAGGGCAGGAATTCGATGGAATTCTTGTACAATCTCTGACTGCTGTATATGTTTCTTTGTTTGGAAGTGCAAGGGCTGCGAACAAAGGTCACTAACTTGCTTGTTGGCCCATGTTCTGAGGGCACGGAAGGGAATACCAGAATTTGGGTGCTTCGTTCACCATCCCACAACAAGGTGGTGGCAGATCACTGAGTCATCTCAGTGGGCAGGGCACACTTTGTACTGCTGCAGCAGATTTCCTTGAGTCTCTCAACTTTTCAAAGTGTTGAGGACCCTGATGTCAGCCATGGTCTGATGCTGGGCACGGTTTCTAGGAGGCTTATGACATATGGATTTGTTAACAGTTTTTGGCCAATCCGGTGTGAATTTTCAACGACCCCAACAGATGTTTTAGTTGTTGAAGTATTGGTTTCTTCTCCTCCTCCTTCTCCTTCTCCTTCTTCTTCTTCTTCTTCTTCGACTTCGATAATCAGCCCAATAGAGATGATGATGTCAAGGATTGGCAGCCAGCTACAATGGAAACTTGAAGTCCTTGCAACTCGGTGGAGTCAAGGGAAGGGGACCAAGTGTCGGGCCGTGAAGGGCTGCAATGGAAGATAGAGAGGCTTGCCCGACCTCGAGCGCAACAGGCAGAGGCTTTCAGCAGCGAAGCCGACCGAGCTAGACTTGATTTGTTGGCACTGAGGGTCATGCCCCGAGTGAAGGAATCGTGCATATGTATATTTGGGAACACATAACACTGCCGGCAATTTCGTTGCCACACTGACTGACTGGGCAGCTTTGATGCCGGTCACAACCTGAGGCATGCTTTTGCCAGCAAAGTTTTGGAAGAGGACCGTGGGACATCGTTTCGGGATGGTCGTGCAACAGGGCGTGCGGCGTACAGTGCAACATGTTTGGTGCTGCCCAGGCGAAGTCGCGGGCGGCATGATTCCTTTGGCAAGCAAGTTGCCATAGACGACTCACAGAGTTGCAGCTTCAATCTTTGTGGCAATTGTACTGCACTATGCGGCTGAGGAAAACTCATGCAATCTGGTTAACCACTAAGTCTCTAAGTAGTCACTAAAGTTACACATGTGTGTAACTGCATGGTTTGTTGTGATTCTTGCAAGACACTATCCACACCAGGACCGGGAGGCCGGCCTCTTTGGCCGCCTTGTCGAGCGAAGAGTAGCAGGAGTTTTGGCGGAGTGAGCTGAGTGGGCGCACCGACTGGTGAGCTGTATCTGGCCTGACTCGTGTTTGGTGCATTGGGAAGGCAGGAATTTGCCAAGATCTGCCACGGATTTCCAAAACACTTTCCTCAAGTTTTTAGGAGACACTGCCCAATCCACATCGAATTATGTGTGGATCTCTGATTTCTACGTGGAGTTTTTCGTTGAAGTGAGCGCCCCCAACAAGACCCTTTAGCTGCCTGCAGGTTACACCGTTTTTGTCGGTTTGATCAGGTCGCCTCTCTCGCTGTCGCTCCGATGTTCCGCTCGCGCGTTTAAACCAACGCTGGCTGTTCTCTCGTCAGGACTGGCTGTGCCCAATCCAAAGAAGGACGGGGCGGTTCGTGGAGACTTGTAGTGACAATGCGTAAAGCAAATCACAAGGCCACTGGAGATTTGGTACCTGTAGCCCCTGTGTCGCCCTGTGTGGGCTGTTTTGGGGTGATGGGTGAGGGTCAGGCTACAAAATGATTTGTCGCTGTGAACATGGCAATTCTGCTGGTTCCACGACTAGTTCCTCTAGAGAGTCGGCCAGCAAGAGAGTCTGACATCCATCCGGTCCTTGTGAAGAAATGTCTTCGCTCATGCGTGGTTCGACCGGTTGACTTCCGCGTAAAACTGGACCACAGACCAATTGCAACAAGCAATCGCGCCCCGTGTTGGTGAGAATGCTCATTTATCAAACTTGCTCACAATCTAGACTAGAAGCAACCCCGGTCTTTAGTCTCCTTTCTTGGGGGCGAAACACCCTGCTGCGTTTCGAGGCCTTCATCGGCCGCACGTTGACGCCTAAGGCGCCTGAAGGCACAAGCCGGCGGGAGGGCACGGGCAGAGTGGCCAGGTCTAAGGAAGGTTCATTTCCTGGTTTCCTAGCCGTTTGCATGTTGAGCTACCAAGCACTTTAGAATCAGGGCTGGCTAGGGAGTCCTGGGATGGGATGCATTGAAGAAGCGTAATTTGTTTCCAGGGCCATGAAGTAACTCTATTATGCAGCTTGTGGCGCTTGAACATTAGTCACTGGAATTTTGTTCGGCAGGTGTGCGGCTTTGCCTCGTAGGAGCACACTTCCCCATATCGCAAGTGGCAGCGGCCTTGGAGGAGCCCTCATCTGGGAGGTGGATGTGTGGCAGCTTCACATGTAGGTTTCTGACATCCAGTTGTTGCCAACTTTTGGCTACAGGGTGTACGTAATAGTTAGGTGAGACGAACGTCAAAGTTCAAAGAACGCCGTGTCCTGCAGTGTTGCTCTAAAATTCTAGGAACCAAACGAATCGTGCGAGCGTGGGCTATCCTGCGTCCTACCTAGGAGCGTGTTGAGTACCTAATAGCCTATATAGCTACTAGCCTTGCTTAATTAAGTAGGCGCCTACTTAAGAAGTAGTAAGGGGGGCGGAGTGGCCTAAAAACGAAACACACGTAGTAGTGCCCTTGTTACTAGTAGCGATGCACATAAGAACTTTGCATCTTCTTCAGGACCCTGAGAAGGATCACTTGGAGGGTGCCAAGAGGGCCATGGCCAGTGTCCTCCGCTCGGCCAGCGGCCTCAGTGGCAAAAATCACCTCGAAATACTTCGCCCAGTGGCACCTCGGTCAAAGAGCAATTTTACAAAAACCTAATTTGCAATCGTGGTCAACAGAAAGACAACCTAAGAATAATAGCGGTGGCCTCCAACCCGATGGCCTCCAACCTAAAAAAACCTAATTTGCATTGCTTTGCGTGGACGCACTTTTGCACAGCCGCATTGAGCAGCGAGCACTTTTTTCCCAGTCCGCAGCCGTGACATTTGTAGGACTTTGGCTGATATTTGCCGGACACGGGGAAGCTGGGAAGCTTAAGATCCCTTAACATCCCTTAGACAAAGTCTACTAAGTGGACATTCTGGTTGCAGGACTTCCCTGCAGAAGACCATCGGCAATCTCAAGCGTATGAGTTGAAGTCGTATTGTTTAATTACTGACTTTGCAGTCAGAGCTTGGTGACTCGTTGTTTTCGTGTACTTCACACACGTCACACACGTCACCACGGTGCTCCATGGACATGCCGCGCAACCGGAGAGGTGCTCCGAAAAGCCAACCAGAGGACATTCGACATGCGTATGCGCGCGCTTTACGCTCGCCAAGCTTTACGGTTTCATCCGTTTGGGCGAAACCTCATGATGTTTTTTTTTGAATGAAAACAGAGACGACTTAGCAGCCTCACATGTTGATTTAGTGGATGCACTTGAAATAAGTAGTATTTCCTACTGTAGCCGGAGTGATCAATCTGACTCTCAAGACTGTTTGGAATAGCTTGTATACATCGGTTAGAATGGGTTTGACATCCTACTATGGATCTCGATTATGAACGGGAGGACACCTAAGACTATGGCCATGAAGATTTGTCAATTCCTGACCACACGTTTCCAGGTCAATAGCCTTGGGAAATAGACTGCATACAGGTATAAACAATAAACGAACAAAACAATAAGTAAACATACATATAATTACACCGCACCTGTTACATGTTATATCAGGAATCAGGAATGCACCTTGCAGATTGCTAGAGTGCTTTTTTTTTTTTTTCCGGTACGCAGTTCAATGATACCTAGTTATAGTTGAGCTCGCGGCTCGCGGCCTCACCGAGTTTTAGACTGTATTGATGCGCACAACTGTCACCAGACACCTGCCCCGTAGGAATCTCACTGATGACCGGACCATCATCTTCGTCCAAGGGGACCGACTGTGCTCTTCTGTGGCAGATTCGAAGGCTGTTGGATGGAGAATTAGGATACAGAAGGGCAGAGGTGCGCTGATCCGACTCTGAAATGCTCAGCTGGTGCACGAAGGCATTTCCCTTCTATGATTCTATTACTTTCAATTTCTTCCACTTTAGCCTCTACATTCACATCTGAGTGAACAGTTGTTGAACATGTCAAGCCTGACAGGCTCCAGTATATGTTGTAGACCGCAGGGATACCCTGAAAATGCTCCTGGCAACCTCAAAGCATTTGCAGCACAAGATACGTCGGGGGTTCAACATTCTAAACCGCCCTGATATGGAAATCCAAACATGTCGGTGTCCACCGGTGTCGCCACCTCCGCACGACCGTCACAGTCTCTCGTGTCTCCAGGACATCAACAGCCGGACCGTATTGCGGGGCCCTGAGGCTGGGTGCCGCGGACTGGCAGCACGTCACTGGGGAGGCAAATGGCTGTACGTCCTCTGGCAGCGGATGCATGTGGTGATGCGGCCTATTTGGGCTTTGCAAGTATCCTTCAAGAAAACTTCTACTGCTTCTACTAGTAACATCTACTGTAAGTAGTAACTAGTAGTTGGGGACTGGCAAAAGAAGCAAATGGAGGTTGAAATCATTCTCCGCTATATCACGTTGAGGCCATATTCTCTGCTGGTTCGTTCACAAGTAACCTGAGAGTGACACTTGACTTGACGAATCTTGTCCCCGCATTGGACATGGACGTCAGTTGTCCAGAACTGAACCTGACAAATGTTGCCCGCCTTCCTAGAATTGTAAAGTTATCCAATTGGACAGAGGCACGTTTGTGATCATAGGTATAGCCCTTACTTTGTTTGAACATATATTTGAGGAAGACACAGACTGAACATGATTGCACATTGAACACCCGAAGCAGTAATTGCTGTCCACTCTGCAAGGGTATCTTGCGCAATCCAAACTCTCTCTGAGATTGAGCTGTGGGAGAGTATAGTTGCAACAAATAAGGAAGCACTTATTCACCAATGGGACTTCGAGTAGAAGAACTTCGAGAGCAGTCGAACAGTCCAAACATCAAGGAATCATGGAATCGGAGCTTCTCAGTCTACAAGTCAACGGCCAACTCGAGAAGGTAACCACAACTGCTCGAGGTAGGACGATGTAGGACGACACAACCATGAACAGTAGATGATGTGGTTTCCCAGACCCCTGCACTCAGGCTTGTTCTTCGCACGCCCATCATCCGACCGTTTTCCGCAGATGCACTCGGACGGTCGAATCACATGTGGTCCACCTATGTCCACCTCGGACGGCAGGTGAAGGATGCACTGCAAGAGGTTCTGAACGATGACTCCTTCCAGCATGCCATTCAGAAAGACGTCAGGGGCGTCGGCTTCGCGCCGGTCATATGTTGGAATTGGATGGAGCTTGATGGAGGATGTCTGAATCCGTTAAGACATGGTTGTCAAACATCATCTGAAACAAGGGAGTCCCCCTGAAATGCCTGGAGTGACTCGTTCAAAGACACTGAAAATGGGCATGGCCCCATGGCCAAGAACTAGCTGGATCCTTTGAACCCAGCTCGTCCCCACAAATACACAGTTTTCTGATGTTTTCTGGCACACCACCTAGTTTGAGTGACACACCTGTGTGCGGATTTGCCAATCCTCTTGCCCAGTTGGATTTGCCTCCTGGACGATGGCGAGAAGTGGTTCCGCACGAGAGCGTGCCCTGTCTGGTGTTGGCTTGACAGGGAAGAACTGGGGAACGACACTGCAGACCAACCATGTTCGTTTTCATTGCCAGCTTATTGTTTTCAATAGCTTCTTGTTACTAGTAGTAAGGCACCTGTTACTACTAGTAAGGCACTTGTTCCTAGTAGCTTATTGTTTTCTACTCTGATCGAACAGCATCCGTTTTCGTGCTGCTCCAAGTGGTGAGACTGAGAGGTTTTCTGCGGTTTTACCGCGCACGGCTGGGATCGACTCACTGTGCCTCACCAGCTAATGTGAATGTGCGAAAGAAGCAAGCGATTGAGTTGAGGGGATTCTTTTGAGAGTCTCAAGGCCCACGATCTGCCTGTAACCTACAAGTTCCGCGACAAGACGGCATGTCAGACAGGCAACAGCTGAAGCCTGAGCAGTCAGAGGTTTTCGGAAAGACACCTCCACATTCCAGAAGCAGTTTGACATCAATTGAGCACAAAGGACATCAAAAGAATTCAACAGACATCAACATGACTTACAACTGTGGCTCTTCGCTGCTTTGGTGCAGTGCTGTTGGGCCATGTTGGGCCAGTGTTGGGTGGCACTTGGAGAAGCGGAAAGGGCCAAATCCTTCTCTGAGGCCCTTCGCCCAAAGGGAAAGGGGCATCTGGAGGCGGGGCGTGGTGGGTCGGTTTGCCGAGGATGTGAACTTGATGGAAGTTTGTTATTTTTCAATATTTGGGACACATAAGTGGTCAAGAAATTTCACAGGTTCCCGTTCCCATTGGCTCAAGGCACAGATCAATCCCAGACATATTGTATCGCAACGGGACGATTGAGTAAGATCTTCAGGTTAAACGTGCTATCAGTGAGTCCTTGGCTGAACCAAACTTCCTCGAAGTCATGGTAGTTGCACTTGCCCATTGTATCAGAATTAAGTATAAAATTATCGTATTGTATCGTGTCTGTTTGATGTTGAACTTTGCTTTGCACTTTGGCAGGTTCTGAGCATTACCTCACAATAGGCGCGGATGACCAAATGGGGCGTTTGACCTGCAACTGAACGTATCGGGCTTCTTTTTATGGCCGTTCTATTCAATGACTATCCTAGAAGGTTTGGGCCAATTTCCAGTGTATGTTTGTACTCAAAATGTGAACACCAAGGTTCAGCTTCACCTTCTGCTGATACTGTAGACTGCAGCTTTGTCGCCAGGGTTTGCGCCAGCATGTTTCTCTGTTTTCAATTGTACACAGGGTTCACCCTGAGTCATCAGCTGTGGCTGAGTCTTGAGGCATAAACTCTGGATCTATGCTCGGTACCAGTCCGATCAGATGATCAGACTCTGAATAGATTCTGAAGTATGGAGCTAGGAACAGAATGCTGCCTGTACAATTTTATGCAAGGTCCTCACCAGTAGGTGGTATACCCCCTCAACCGCCACTCCTCAAACCAGGGGACGTTATCTCCAAAGCGTGCGGGGCCTCAGCCAGAATCGGCCCTCAGTTTGGAACGTGGGTGGAAGATGGTGGAAGAGGGTTTGCAAGCTTGGACATCCTCTTGTCGTATTTTGACATCTACTTCAACCCTTGGCTACCAATGGCGCACATGCTGGATACTTGGAGCAACCGTGCTCAACCCAAACCGCCCAAAAACCTCCTAACATCAGCACTGCCCCACTGAAAGACGGTCTTTTTGGCCGGATCAGAGGCGCCTGCGATCGGCATCTGCCCCTGACTTGAGGAAGGCCGGCGGAATGAGATATCGACATCAAGGTAACAAAAACCACGTGCTCAATCAACAGTCAGTTGGCGTGGTTTGGCTTTATACTGCAAGGCAAATATATCCAGAGCACTCATGCCAAACAAGTTGGCCAATACGCGAAGTGCAAATGCAAAATCAGCTAGTACGGATGCTGCTAAATGCTGAACGAAGACTTTGTGGGTCGAAAGCTGGAACTATCTCCACTAAGATGTCAATGTGACTTTGCCGGGTTCATGCAATTCTATGTCAGCTGACCAATGATTAGGCCAATTTAGACATGTTTTCTTGTGTCTCCTATGCCACTTGTGTCAGGCTCCGACTTCGGGCAGGTGGCTTTGACTTCGGGTCGTTTGGGCATTTGGTTTGAAGGATCGCTCGAATTTTTATCGCTTGTGCATGCTCGTGCCCATTTAGCCATTTGACTTCTGGACTGCATCACGTTTTGTCAATCTTCAGGGTTGTGGAGAAACTATGCCTGGTAGCAATCCGCAAGCGTCAGTCAAGCCCGATTTCTTGCTGGCACTACAGCATGTGATATGCTCAATTGGCGCTCGTTGAGCTCCAACCATTTTCCACCGCCCACAAAGTGCCTGACGATTTCGTCCTTGAAGCTGGTGTTTTCGTTGTGTTTTCCTTGAGGCGTCCAAAAGAGACGGAGAACTTCTACAAAAGGAGTCCAGCCGTGATTCGCTCGCGAGCCGAGAGCGGCGGCCAAAACCGCCCCGACCGCGGGTTTTTGCGGTTGGCGGGTGGCACACGGGGCGGTGCGTGTGGGTGGCACACGCTGCATCCACTCGGCCGCAGGACCTTGCAGACCCTTGGCCAGGAATGGTTGGATCGTTGGGGAGTTGCTCGCCTGCCCTGCTTTGGCAGCTTTGGCAGATGCTTTGGCCTGGAATTTGCGACGAACCTGTCTAACGGCACAACAACTCAAAGGACCAAAAGCCTGGGCATGATTTGCAAGTTAACTGTGCAGCTGTTCTTCCACATTCTTGGCATATATTTACTCGGTCCACCTAGCGTTTGGCCAGGCCTTCAAGCACAATGATTTCAGATCCTTTCGGCCTGGGCCTCAGATGGCAAACTGAAGATGAGAAACCATATGAAGCCATGTGTTCCTCACCTGTGTTTTCCCTTCTTGGTTCTGGCGGTATATGGTGCGCCCTGGACTTGTGACGCTTCTGGCTGCGGAATGGTGCGCTCTGGGCTTGTGGAAAAGACTTGTATGCAAGTGCGTGGCGGTTAGCTTAAGAGGGGCCCCCGGCCCGGCGGGGGTCACTCGAAGTAGATGAACTTTTGGAGTTCACGCGCCTAGAAGAAGATCTTTGCTCCAACCTTGTGGGGTTCCCAACGCAAAGTGTGTAGATGACAGAGTTGTAGATGTTCCTATAAGCTACTAGTGCATCGCTTCGAGTAACAAGTGCCTTACTAGTAGCAACAATGTTTGCTATTAGAAACAATAAGCTACTAGTAACAAGTGCCTTACTACTAGTAACAAAAAGCTATTAGAAACAAGAAGCTACTAGATGTTCCTATCCTGCCTGGAGTCTGGTGGAGCGCTTGAGGTTCCCAGCTGCTGCGGATCGGGTGATCTGCTGGGCATCGGACGAGCTCTTCGATCACCTGTCCCTGGAGCTACCGAGAGGTGGCTATGAGGCAGCTTGTGGCTGGGTTGGAGAGACAGATGAGACAGGCAACAGTTATCAACAACTTGATATTTGGAATGTCGCGCAGCAGCAGCATCATCAACAACAACAACAGCAGCAACAAAGTTCACTGATGGTATTTTAGTATATATGATTATATATGTAGATGTCACATACATAACAAGATGTAGTGATATATATTATTATACACATATTGCTAGGTCTATGCAGCTGCAGCATATGTGGTTTCCAGGTTGTCACCCTACACTTGGGGACTTGAAACACGACCATCAGGTGAACCACTCGCAGCTGGGCAGCGACCACCGGCCAGTGAGTTTGGAGGCACCTTTCGGGAACCTTGTTTGAAAATCTAAGGCGCCTGCAGGCATTCCTTCAAAATAGAATGACAGACCAATTTCAGAGGAGAGGTGAACCTAAGACTCTGGCTGCAGGTGATCCTAAGACTCTGGCCAGAGAAGGTGAATTTTACACCGCCGCTGAAGCCTGTCAGGGAGACTCAGAAGTGAACAGGACAAAGGTAGGACTGCGGGGCTGACGACAGGCTTCAAGCAGTTGTATTTTGCTCTTTTATGCGGGGTGCAGTTGTTTGTGTTTTTTTGCGCATCAGTTCAGATTCAGACAAGACACACAAGCCGAGGCCAATAGCAGGACGAGGCTAGAACAACATGTAATTATATAGTAAAGTAATGTAAAGTAGGAATTGGACATTCGGACTTTTTTGTTCACGTACCAGACACAATCAGCTCAGGATAGCTCAGGTGTCTTTTTGTAGAAAAGAGCCGTTTAAGACCCGGGTCAGACCGATCCACTGTCGAAACCTATGCCGTTTGATTGGCGAGTGATCAAGGCCCGGACCTTCACAGAGGCGCTCGGGTGATCCGTCAGCGGAGAGCGGGAACTGCTTGTCGGCTCGCATTCAGTACGGAGAGCGGGTACGCCATAAGGATGTGGCAAAGAGTTGGAAAGAAGGAACACTTGAAACATGGTGCATGCTGCATGCCGTTACACGCAGGTGAGTGAGACTCATGTACTGAGTGAGATGGAGAACCTGTGTGGCAAGTCCAAGAGTATGGAAGACGAGTGAGTTTCCAGCTCTCTCTTTGAGATGGTGGAAGGGGATCCGACGTCGGCTGATCCGCGAACATCCGCCGCGAACTTCGCGCAGGGTGCCCTGTCCGAGCCAGAGGACCCCATGTCCGAGGCAGAGGCGGGGGCGGAAGGACTTCCGGATCGATGTCCTCACTTCAACAAGCTGAAGGCTTTGGTGGCTAGGATCTTAGGTCGGTAGGTCATAGGTATTCTTTGTTCATATCATTTCTTGAGCTCTTTGATTTGGGTGAACTTGTGGTTTCAACAGGGTTGGTTGTTTATGAACAGGGCTTCTCCTTAAACTGGTGTTAGCGCACAAAGCTCAAAGCCAAAGGTCTTGGCCGGTGGTATGGAGCGAAGATAGGCATCATGTTGTAGAATCGAGCAGCGGGATGGAACACAAACGAACACTGGAACCAACCGAGAACGCGGCCAAATTCACAGCCGAGACCGTGGCTCGATCTCTTTCTTTCTCTTCAGAAACACCACAGCTGACAGTGAGCTGATTGAAAGATATTGAATTGAACACCATCCATTTCTTGCCAGGAGGATGATGACCTGGACTCCTGCGAGGGGTCGCCCAGGACCAAGTGGGTGAAGAGAGTGTTTGGCTGGCAACTGTGAGTATCCAAATGGGTCAGACAACGGAGAGGTGAACCACCATAAGTTCATAAGCGAGTACAGGTTGCTAGGTATTGCTAGGTATCTCAGCTAATGAATGGTGGTGCAGGATTATGTTATATCCACCGGACTCAAAAGGGCTTGAAACACTTCAGGGGATTTGGGATGCCGACTTTGGTGCCACAGTCGGACGTCGGTGGAATCCTTCTGGGGTGTCAAGCCTTTCCAAGTTGAGTTTTCCGGTATATTTGCAGGTGCCAGTTCGCTTCTACTAGGAGGATTGTATTGTCAGCACTCCAACAGAATCGAGTTTCAGAAGGGGGGGACAAAACCCTGCTTTCGGTACAGGCTAGGTATAGGTCCTACTTTTGGGAAAAGAGCGATCCTCAATCATTTGGCTGCTTGATGAGCAATCGACTATGAAGTCACCGTTATTCAGAGTGCCAAATGCCCAGGCAACATTGCCGCACTAAAGCAGGCATGCTGCATGCTGCATGCTCTTTACGTTTTGTTCCATGTTTTCACCGGCTCTCTTTGGGAGCCCGAAATATGCATTTCTTTCACCTCCCATCGTCCTTCCCACATGTCCCCACTCTGAACCGACCGCTGTGAGCGGTCGAACCAGTGCAGGACCGTGGCCTCCTCCCTACCTGCTTTCGCACAGGCCAAAAGTGTTTGGGTGTGGATTTTTCTAATAGCTTTTTGTTACTACCAGTAAGGCACTTGTTACTACTAGCGAACCTTGTTTGGATGCAGGAACATGATGTGTCTTTTATTGAAAGAGTGGTTGTTTCCCATCATGGTGACGACGAAAGTCTCGTCTCCCGTCGCAGCGGTCCGTTGGCGTCACCGTCACGTTTGCAAGCTCCTGGTATCCGCATGTTCCATACTGAACCCCAGTTTTCCGTGTATCTCTCTCTCTCTCTCTCGCTGTGTGGGGGGGGGGAGCAGGAGGTTGTCTCCCGTGGTGCATTCCCAGTGCTCCGTACGTTTCTTCAAACAAGGACCCTTTATAGGCCCTATAGGCTGAATTCATACATCTAGAATCATCTAGATACATCTAGATATTATAGTTCCACTTAGCTTCACTGGGGTCAGACACTGCGCCAGCTTACTTTGAGCCAACTGGAATGAATACGAGGCTATAGGCTCTATCGAGGCTGATAAGAAGACATAAGAAGACACAAGTATGTTATGTAGGGGGCCTTTGTAACATTCCTTCCAAGTGGGGCTCTGATGCCGGAATATGGATTTGCTCCAACAAGAGACGCCTCCTGTGATCCTGCACTATACTGGGACTCCAGCGGCGACAAGGGGCCTCAGCCGCTCATTGGATTGACGATGTTGCAGGTATTCAAAACAGTTTTGCTTGAAAGCCTCGCGTCGCGCAGGTAGAATTAATTATGCTTAAGTAAGTTATGGGTCCCCGCTCCACCAAGTCCCTGTCTTGAAGTTGTTGAAGAGATCAATGCCCTTGCAGATACATTCTCTATCTCGTCGTCAATTGTCTGATTTTGGAGCCTCTTGGCAGAAGAGCCAGCTCACCAACGTAAGGTGCTATGTGTGAAGAACGTAAGGTGCTATTCCAGCTGTCCAACTTGCCTCAGCATATTGCATAATCCAAAAGACCAATGTGTGTTGTGACAACATGTTGCGGCTGCAAGCCTTTCACAACAGAATTAAGGCGGAGGTCTGGGCGACATATTTAGATTCAGTTCCCGGAGTGGAACCCGTTCTCCGTCAACCACTGCAAGATTGACCGAAAAAAAAACAGGCTCGTGGTCCGTCTAGCCCGATGTTTACAGCTTGTGTCTGCTCTGCCTATGACAAATCAGTTTGCCCCGCACACTTTCTCGAACTGGCTTGGAAGCACTTCTGCACTTTTGGGACATCCAAGATTGAAGGACGTGCATGAGACCTGATATTTTCCACGAAGATTCCGCCCCAAACCAAGACTAACAAGCAACAGCCACCAGTGCGCTGTTCTCGACCGGAGTGAAGGAAGCCAGCACGGCCACGGCACTCAGCTACCATGTGTCCTGGTTTGCACATCCTAGGCCTACACCTGAAGGGCGCTGGTTCCAAACGCGCAGCGATATGGGTCGCAATGGTCTTCCAACGTAAAAGGGCTCTGAAAGGTCTAGGCCCGTATGTTCCCAATGCCCCATGCCAAGCTCAATGTGTCGTGACTTTTTGTTTTTGTCACATCGTTCGTATCACTCTTTGATATGGATGACTTGGGATATTCAGCACTCAGATCGACCGTTGCGGTTGTGCGCGCTTGAAATTCGAGTATTCTCCGGAAGACAGCTCCTGAAGAGTTCTAGGCTAGACATTCAACCAGATTCACAGCCGGTAGTGCATTTGCATAATTGTCCGAGTGACACCCAATCCTTTGAGGAATCTAGCATTGAACTCTGCAGCACAAAGTGTTGCCCTACAAGTAGCTGTTTGTTTTGCATCTGCAGCCGTCCTGGAATTGGATCAAGCAAATCCTCAAGATTCAGTAGACTCGAAAGGATTTCGATTCAGGGTTCTCCCTGAGTAAGCAATGACAATGTCCAGTCATTAGACTTAGAGGGTGTGGTATCGGGACGCAAACCCTGCTTGCCGTGTGGATTGCGATTTTAATCCATGCCGTTTGGAAGGAGCAGTGCTAGGTGTCATGAATGCAATGTGAATGACAATGAATGATCCAAAATTCCTCATTTGGCTTTGATGTCGGGGTTTCAATCCCTGTGGATTGCCAGGAGGCATCAAAAAGCTAGCCAAACTTGGATGCACAGCTTCATTCAACATTGAATGCACCAGTGGGCTATTTGCCGTGACATCAACACATGAGAAACAACAGTCACGGAAAACTTGAATGACAACTTCTGGGCGTGTTTTGGCTCCAGGCGTGGCCAAGTATGAGTTTGTTCAACACGATGTCACATTTTCTGCAGCCCCTTTTCTGCCTGTTTCTTGATTCTAGATTGATTGCTCTGCAAGGCCACTCTGATACCTTCAATGCCATTCAACATCATTTTTGACCATACGGTTCTTTTGAATAGACAATGCAGTACAACTCACTCGTACGCCCAGCATTCAGTCAGCACAGAAATGCACAGAATCCCAACGAATGCCAAGTCAAAACACATTCCAACTTGCATGAGAATGCCAGTGCGGCGACCGCTGCGACCCGTCCAACGACAGGATTTCTTCGCGCAAGGCGGGGAGGAATGGAAGAGTCATGGACCAACCATCGCCGAACGCCAGGAGGAATCACAAGTCCCAACCACATCGATGAATGGCTATATAGTGATGCTCAAATAGATAGTGGTACGGCTTCCCTTTTGAGTGAGCATCTACTTTTCTATCTATTTGGAGTTCTATGTTAATTCAACATACTTGGCGCCTTGGTTGTTGCTTCACCGGTTTTGACTTGGCGCCTTGGTTGTTGCTTCTCGTTTGTTCCGCAGGTCATGGAGATCTTCATTGGCCGAATCCCTCCAAGTTTAGGCGCGGGTCCACGGGACACAGCACGACTGCGCGGAGAGTCCAGTCGATTCCTTGGCATTCTATGTATTTGGCATAGACGGAGTGCCTGGTGATCTAGATGCCGACATGCTTTCGAAGGGGATGTCAAACGGTTTTACATTCCCCAACCTCTTTTGACCCACATGGTCAAGTTGGTCTTTGGCTACAGAGCACTGCAGCTTGCCAGAAAGGCTTTTGTTTGACTCCAAATGCATCCAAATGCCTAAGTCGCTGAGATACAGTAAATTAATGTAAATTCGGCGACCCATAAAAACATCGTTCACTACTCATGCACTGATACCTTAGAGACTTGGCTATCAATGCATGAGTCGATATGACTCTCTCGTAAATATTTATCGACTTGGCGCAACCAACAACATGTCTGACTTGGCTTCATCATGCTTCATCGACATACGTCTCAGGCATCAGGGAGATCAATGAGATTTTTGCACACTCCTGAGATTCGGCCAACCTTTTGACGCACATCGCAGGATGCATTTCGAAGCCACAGTTTCCGATCTTTCAGGATTTGAAAAGGCAGACTTAGGTATGCCCACAACTCGTTGGCACTGTATCCGACGGTGATGCCTTGTGAAGAATCCAAGCACCACGGGTGAAGAGCTTTGCTGTGTGTTCTATTTCAAAAAAAGCCAGCAGATTCTCACAGTTTCGTTGGCCCCCCTGGGCCTTCCTGTCACTGGTCGTATCAAATGGCCTGCCGTCTCGGTGCCGAACTAGGCACCATATGGGGCAACCAACGTGCGGATGTTGGACGGCAAGGGCTGCGCGTACTCCTGGGCATCGCTTGGGCGATCCACCGGTGGATCTGGTTGAGCCGATGGGTCCTTCCAACTCAATGGACTTGTGCACAAGATAGTCAGATTATGTCAGATTGGGCACAGCTCAGTTCCAAAGGCAACATATCTAAATCACATTTCAATATGTTCATTGCTTGGACGGACGGACGTATTTCCTACAGCGCAACGAACTTTTGTGCGACCTGCCACGAGGGTTGAGCTAAACTCGGAGATCCAAACTCGGAAACTTGGACGTGGAAACTCGGTTTGTATGCTTCATGCATCCTTCATGCCCTATTGCATGTTTGTTCCTTTTTTTGCATGGTGTATCCGATGATCCATGCCATGGGTTGTCGAGAGCAAGCGAGCAAGCGCCAGCTTTGCGAACTTCGAGTCGACCTTTGACGGGGAGCGAGCGATTGCTGAGCTCAACGGACATTCCGTAGGCGCCCGTCGGGTCTGGGTCGAGCTGAATCGATCGAAAAACCAAGCAGGCAGTGAAGATGCTGCTTTCGACGGCAGGGTGAAGAACTTGATTACTGTTTGAGAATCATTGAGAAGGGCGGCTGATCACTGGCAACCTCCCTGCTGTGCCCTCTCCAAAGGTAAAAAGAACTGGTAGCAATATGAGTACTTGATCAGAAACCCTTCCCCGAAGCTCACCGGTTGCAGCATCCTTTCATTTGAAATGCATAGATTGATATATATATATATATGTATGATATAGACTATGGGATAGACATCAATATATATATATATATATATGCATGGTGCAGACTGCAGACAGTAAAAATGCTCGTGGAAAACCCTCAAAACGGCAGAATCACCATTAGTTTGTTACGACACAATGTGTCTCCTTTGAGTCCCCAAGACGCCAGGTGGTGGTCAACTCAATGTGAAGTCGGGGGCTTGAAGTGTGGGCCGCGAATGGGTTTACAGAAACCTTGCGTTTGACTCCGATCCAGAGATTGTAGACAAGTGTGACAAAGTCGATTGGAAAACAACATGCGTCAACAACACCAACAACCAAAAACCAACAATAGCAAGAAGAACCACAACAACCAACAACAAAAGAAGCAAGAACAACAACACCAACACCTTGCGTGCTTGATGGTTTGGGTTCCTAATCGCTCAGAGAGGATTGCAGGCCTAACATGTGGAGTCTCATTGAAACCTTTGTTGGAGTCTGCAGCTTTGGTCACGCAAATATTCTGACTTGGATATGAAACCACATGGTTGTGAAGAGTTGCAACGCATCATTCCAGCAATTCATGAAGGAAGTTGTGCAAAGACTGACATCGCATGGCGCTTGTTTCTATGTTGTTTCATTTGAGTTTAGCGGTACTAGTATTGGCTTCGGTTTCATTTTAGTGCATCATGCGTCGGCTTTCTCCTGCTATATGTATCTCACGATTGCAATCATGTCATCTTGCCCTTTCCCACTTGAATGGGCTCTTGGTGCGTGTTATCGCTTTGCATTTACCAAAGTGTATCAGACGTCAGCTCTGCTTATCTTGACTTTACTCACCTCGTACCCGCTCATTGTCTGACGACACGCAGCCGCTTCTGTAAGCTGTAGTTTGGGTCCAAATGGATACTGGTATATGACCCTTGCAAGAAAGAGCGTCAGAGGTTTGCCTTTGTGCTTTTGGCGGCTCCACATGTTGTGGCCAAGTGAGATCCCTATTTGTCAAGAACCGACCTCCTAGGCGGGCCAGCAACAAATCGAGCGGGGGACCTCCTCCCAGCAGCTTGAGCAATTGGAAGAGCTCACGGACACGTTGTTTGCCACCTCTTTTCCTGCTGTTGTCGTGCTTTTTTTCACAGCAACTCATATTTTAGATTTTTGGAAGCATGCAACGTGTCATCATTTGATCTTGGGAAGATGATGTAATGATCCAACTTCTTAGACCATAAAGTCGAGTGGACAGGAAAACATGAAGGGCATCATCCATGAGTTGACGATGTTGATTAATGAAGATGATGTTTCCAGATTAATTTCTTACCAGGCACTGTCATTTCCTCTTAAGCCATGAAAGATTGATGAGACCGATGTAGCAACTCCAGTGAACTCCAGTGCCCAAGTTTGACACTGCCTGCAATTTTAATCATCGGGATGTAGGTCCCTGCCTTGCACGATCATCAGCACTGGATGCTTTTTCGGACTCCGGTGAACTCCGCCACTTGACGCCACCAGGTCTACCACCACCGACGCCACCAGCACCACGCCGGGAGAATGGAGTCGGATCATTTGGATCACCGTCCGTCGCTGCTCCCGCCAGCACGCCACAGCCACAGCTCTTCATCGGAAGACTGTCACTGGGCCAGCAGCGGTGGTTTTTTCCATGGTGACGTGCTGAAACGGTACCGGGAGACGAGAATTCAGTGGCAGTGACTGCTTTCATTTGTTGGGAGACAATGGGAGACAGGTCACTCAAATCCCAACTATCCACCTTGTAGATGGCAGGTTTCGACTTCTTCTTTCTTCTTTTTTTGGGGTATCACGACTGTGCTGCAATGGATATGGATGGTTCCAGCCATCTTGAAAGGACGGATCCGACGGACCCGACGCCCGAAACCGCTGGCCATGAGCCCGAAACCGCTGGGTCGCAATGGCAGACTACGAAGCCAGCGAGCCGACGGTTCTTTTCCCTAGTTTTTGGGTGCTCAAGATTAGGTCTGGTGCTTGAACTTCTTTCCTCCTAGATCTCCTGGATGTTTAATTTGAGAAGGCTGTGGGGCTAACAATTTTTTGGTTTCTTCACAGCTCACGGTGACGTCATTCTGTAGGGATTAGCATGATACCTTACCTTGTTTATGCACTGTTGTGGCTCCAAAGTTTCTGGTGGAACCATGAGCCACATGACATTGGCCAGCTAGTAGCGTCCTTTGTTCCCAGTAGCGATGCCCTTTGTTACGTTCGTAGCGAAGCCCTTGCTCCAGTCGCGTCCTTAGTAGCCTCCACCGAGCGCCTTTGGCCTCAACGATGGTTGGATCGGTGAGGCCACCGAACACCTCCCTGCATGAGATTGAGAATGCGGTGTTACCCTATGGGGCAATGAAGCTTGGCTGATCCATTGGCGCCAGCAGTGGACGGTACAATGATTGACGGACAGTTGTTAGGTGGCCAGAGGCGAGATCATGCCAGACCATATCGGGCTACGTCAAACATGAAAGCAGAATCGTTTGCCCTTTTATCCCCTGAACTGATCTCCAGATTCTTGTTGGAAGGATATTTTTTTTTTTGGTTTTATCATAAGCAGTTCCGTGGCCACAGTTGCGGAGTCCAAACATTGCGGAGGGATCTGGGTCGGTCGGAGCATGAAAAAGGTCGGTCTGGTACCCTGAGCGAGCAGGAGACCCTCCCAAAGACTAGCAGATCAAATAGGAACTTCAGAGAGGTCGATGTGGTGAGAGTGGTTTTGGCCAACCGTGACCAGGAATGTCAAGCTGCTGGAAGGTCACTTGGCACGTGAAGGGTGATCCTATGTGATCCTTGAAGGAACAGTTGAAATGATTGGACCCTTGGAGATTCACCTGATTGAGATGCCACAGAGAAGCATTTTTTGTTGTTGTAGATGATTGAGTGGAAGGGTCTGCCTTTGAGACCTGCAGACAGCCAATTTTCACTTGCAAGGTGCTTGAAATTGATAGTGCAAGAATATCCCAATTGACGAAATGTGTCAGATTCGTGACCGTACCACTGAGATCAGCCAATGGATGTTCTGTTCAGTAGCTGAAACCTGAAAACATGAAAAAACACCACATGAAAAAGACCACATCTACCACACAGTTCCTCTCATCTACTTGGGTCTTCAAACCGTACCGATGCGACACCGCTTCTGTCTCCCGGTGCGACGCCACTTCTGCTCGAAGGCAAGAACTGCGCATTCGCGTTCTTCGAGTCTTGGGCCCAAGCCGAGCACTGCATCGCCGAGCTCAACGGTGCACCGCTCCGGGAGGGCACGGAGGGCCTCAACGTGAAGCTCGCGGATCTGACGCCCGGACGAGGGGCGGAGGCCAGCGTCGGGGGGCAAGGGGGGGCAGAGGCCCTCCCCGCAGCGTCTACTCCTGGTCTCGCAAATGGTTGTTTGTTGTTTATTGTTGGTCTGAACAGTTGCGGTGGCCTTCATGACCACGGCGAGAAGTACCTGTAGCCCTTCGGGTCGGGAAAGTGCGGGGGTTCACTGCGTTGCTCGATGCTTGCTCGTGCACAGTACTAGAATTAGACAGGCTGATCAATTGGACACCCGCAACCTCTTTGGAAAGAATTTCGATTCTGCAGAAACCAAGTTTTCTTGGCTGGACAAACCAAATTTGTTTGGTATGACTATGACCCGGAAACCTAGTATTATATATTGTTATATAATGATTGATAGTTTGAACATTGAATTGGTCGTGTCCAAACCGATCGTTGCGTGGTTTTGATCGTTGTGCCGCTCACGATGAGGGGCAGCCACGCCTCAGGAATTGCTGATTTTCCGAAGCAGTCAGATCCGTCGCTTTCGACCAAGGAAGGGTGCCCCAAAGGGCGCGCAGCAGGAACCCAAGGTCTTCATTGGAGGGATTGCTCCGACAGTGGGGCAGGTCGAGGTGCAGCAAGCCTGTGAGCAGTTTGGCACAGTTGTGGACTGCAAGATCTTCAAGAAGAACGATAGGTCGATTGGAGGCAACTTTTGGAATGCTTCGGGATCTACCTTTGGGAATGTTCAAAATGATTTCCCAGAGATGAATTGTCCATGGCATGTATAAACTATATATATATATAAGCATGCAATTCAGACCTTGGTAATCCATTCTATAGTACCCGCTATACCCTTCAGGCATGGACAATTATGGGAAGGTACTAAGGTACTGTATGTTTCTGCCGTTTGCTGCACTGTGACTGTGAGCAGCTGCAAATCAAAGGCTACAATTCAGCATTTGATCATCACCTTTTGGATCCTTTTGTCGGGTGAAACTACATCACAACTTCAACTTGCCATGCCACCGATCGGGCAGGACATTCCCTACTCTAATGGGCGAACTATTCAAAGACTGATTCTCAAAGCTTATAAAATGGGTAAAACCCTGGATTTGATGCCTTTGTCGATGCTGCCTAGTTTTCTGTAATGTCCAATCATGTCCAATCACAAGTTTTTCCTCTTGAGGTTTGACATTTACCTTGGCTTAGGATTTTGCATGCTTTTACAATATTCTATCCTGGGTTCACATTTGTTCTTCTTATAACACCAACCTTCTGTACCCGGGTCCCAGACCCGTACAGCGTAAACGTTGCCAATCGGAAAGCGATTCCGTGGATTCATGGAAAACCGCAACTTTCTTCGGCAGTGTGAAAAGCAATTGACTAATTCGTCACCCCCCACCACTGCAACCGTCAATCGCCGCACAAAAAACGAGAGTCTCATCCACAGCCACAGACCGCCTGGGCCGGCCCTGTATGGCCCGTTCGGATCGTTCGGATCCGGTGGGAGCCGCTCCGAGGTCCATGCCTTGTGCCTTCGTGACCTTTGGCAGCTTCACCGAGGCGGAGCGCTGCATCCAGGACCTCCACGAGAGCCTCAACCCCCTGGCGGCTGAGGGGAAGGCGCTCGTGGCGAAGATGGCGGACATGGCGCCTGGGACCTGACTGACTGGGGGCGGATGGTGGTGGGGTGCTGCTGGGTGGTTTCCCAATACAAAGGGTATAGGCGGTATAGGCGGTATGAGCAGTCGGCAGTAGAGACTCTTTTTTGGTTTGAACCGGCGTCTATTGGAGGGAACTTAAAGTTCGCGAGCTGGCAGCTGGAGATCAAGACTGACTTTTCTTTGGGGGCCAGCACAAGGAAAGTTTCGCAGACTTCAGTACTGCATATGTTCGGCAACGAACTTCTCATCTCCAAAAAGAAGTGCCGAAGTGCCCTGGCCATCCCTGGCCGATACTCCAAGCAAGTTCAGAGTAGCAGGAGCTCCCTCAAACTGGATGCTGAACATGTGTCAGTCCTTTCCATCCTTTACACTCCTTCCATCCCTTGCCAAGGCGAAGAGCCAGCGGACTCCACCAGTCCCGCCCCTACCAACCCGTGAGCGCTTCGATCGCGTGGAACCACCCCGCACCTTCTTCAATCCAGCACCGATACCGGTCCTGCCTTACCCACCGGTCCCGAGTTTCGAGGGGAGGAAAGGAGGCTATGGAGGTCAACCGATGCACGTGCCCGCACCGCACCCCATGCACCCAGTGCACCCAGCACCTGGACCGCAGGGAGGGGGAGGACTGAACGATATGCCTCCAGCGGGTGGAGGAATGGAGGATGAGAAGCTCTTCATTGGTGGTTTGCCAGCCAGTGTCTCTGATGAGTTCCTTTGGGGCATGATGGCGCCATACGGCCGAGTGGCCGAGGTCAAGATCTTGCGGAAGTCTGGAGCAGCACCTTGCGGCTTCGTCTCCTTTGCAAGTATGGGGGAAGCGGAGATTGCTTTGAAAGCTCTAGCCAACTGCCGCTTTATCGTCAAGTATGCAGATTCCAAAGGGACCAAGCGGCCCGCAAGCGTAGCCTTTGAAGACGCTTTTGAGCGTCGGGTGCGGTGAGGAGAGCTTCTATTTCTATGAGACGGGAAAAATAGAGCGATGCCCGGAAGCACTGATGTCTCATTTGGGATTCGATACCCTGAGCCTCGCAGATTCACACCCCTTGAAGGGGCGACTTTATTTAGGCACGAGGCACGCTTTTGGTCCAGCAAGTGGTTGTGTTTCTGGTCGGTTCGGGCAAATTACATGCAAAGATGCGCCAAACAGAGGCTGTGAGATGTGAAGAGGTCCAGTGATGCGCAGGCAGTCGTGAGCGGAATTCGCTCCAGCACTTGACATGAGTTGGTATATGATGATTCGACGATATAATATTACTTATAGGTTTCCCTCTTAAATCATCATCAGCCGTAGCTGCAGTTGGAGGAGAGACCCCCTTGTTCTCAAGCTACCCGCACTGCCTGGCTGATCCACTGCTCAAGCTCCACCGTGGGGCAGATCCAACGAAGCGGCCGACAATCCTGCCAACGGCCCAGCGCCTGGCCCAACGACCATGTCGAAGGCCTTTGGCACCTTTTCAGGTGGGGAGCAGGGGATATGTTGACCTTCAGTTCTATCAGCAATAGCTTAGAGAAACTGGCAGGTGAAGAACTAGTACGGTGGAATTTGATGGAATTTGCATATCTACCACTTACGTATGATTTCCACGTGGTACATATCCTGTATACATAAACAAAAAACCTTCAGTACAAGTTCGTATAACAGTTGCATGGAGCGTTTTCAGGAACCCTCAACATTTGGTCGCATGTTCTTGTAAACGTTTATTCTAGTATGCATATCATGTAGACAGTAAATTTTTATACATAGTTTTATACAAATAGTGACTTCCACTTCACCTGGAGACCTCCCTGGGCCAGGCGCTTACAGTCGCCACCAGGACGAGACTCGTCAGCTACTTGATCATTGACTCTTTGCTTGGCCAATGACAGCCCTTGCATTCAACCTGTGCGCATATTTTTTTGAAACAGGTTGTTGAATCCACTCTTGCCTCCACAATTCATTTCTGATCCAATCTCTACACCTTTAGTGACACTTCTTGGAAGATCACAGTCAAGAGGGTACAACCAGAACTTGAGGTAGATTCACTCAAGAGCCTTCTGCCCGCAGAACTCTGGCATGCCGCACATGGATGGCCACAGCAGCTTCACTCATGGCCAGCGCAAACGCTTGAACATCGCTGGGGAGCAAAGGCTGAGAACACCTGGGAAGCAAGGGCTCAAGACTGTGACTTGCTTTCGCTCCTGCTACATCACTCCGGATTTATAGGCGTTCTCATGACGGCCCTCCATGTCCAAGAAGCTTGAAGAATACAATAACTCGGATGATGGATTTCCATGGGATTTCCAGTCCCACCAACCCAATGTTGAAAGAATCAACATTTGCTTGTTGCATGTATGACCACATCAGCGGATACTCTTACTGGAAAGACTACGTTCGGCTGGCCAGATTGATTGATCGGTCTTAGACATCCTGAGAATGAAATCTAAAAGCAAAAACAAAAAGCACATATGTCTGGTTACCACAAGTTCGCTACCATTCGTGGCTACTTCCCATTCGCGTGTGCCGAGGTTGCTGTGCTGGCCAATGTCCTGACACCTTGGTTGGTCTTCTGCGGCGTTTTCGTCCGGGAGACCCGGAGGTGTCCAGGTGCCGTCCATAGACCCATCAAACTTCATATTATATATAGTGTATATATATATATATTATATACACATAATTTTACATAATATATGCACTGTATGAAATTTGTTTGCTGTTTGTTGTTCTATTGACGCCACATGTTTTGAGGATTTTGTCAACACATTTTCATTGAAGCATCTCTGATCTGGATGGGTGCCCAACAGACTCATTTAAGCTAGCTTGCCTGCTTTACAGCCCTTGAAACACTGAGACTGCTATGTCCTTCTACACTCATTACACCAGTCCTGTGCTTGCCTGGCTGGTCGTGCTGGCAGGCCCGGAAGGGCGGCGGGAACAGGAACTGTGCACCGAATTCGATTGGTTGCTGAAGAGCCACATATACGAGTTCTGAATTTCCCTTTAGAGTAAGGAAGGGAAGTTGCAGGACACTCACATCTGCACCACCAACAAGTTTCACCTTGCGCCTTGCCAGGTGTGGCCCTCTCTGGACTGGCAGGCAGGAGCAGGGCCCATGCTTGTAAAAAACACGGTATGCTCTTGCCAAAAGCAGCATCCTGGCACCAGTAATTCTTTCTAATCCACAATCAACACAGAAAAAGGTGTCCATTTTCTTCCGAACTTATTGACATATTCCCCCACTTTGCTTTGTGCCCATGAGCTTTGACAGCTGGCCCAGCCGGATGGGAGGCTTCATGGCCCACCGCACCAAGCTCAATGACCGTGATCCCACGTGGTGCGCAGCCTTGTTTGCTTGGATGGCTGGCCTTTGACGCGAAGTGGGTGCTTCAACCCCCAAGACTTCCAACAAACCATAAAATTGATATTATATAACAACGCTAAAAATCTAAAAAAGGTATAAGATTACACATTTTGAAGGCATACCTCCTGGCATTGAACACGGCCCAGTACAATTTCCATGTTTCTTGCGTTTGCCAAAAGGGTGGGCTGTTTGAAACCCATGAGCACTTTCTTGAATCTCGCCGTGGGGATGAGCTTTGAGCTCACCATGCAAGTTCCAACATGCCTCAATCACGGCCCCTATGTTCATCACTTTTTTCCGTACATCTTGGTACCATTCCCCGCAATGTAGGTCACTTCTACGGCAACTTCTTTCCGCCTCCAAGCCGAGAAGCACGTCACGTCACTTCGGGTTTCTTGTGGCCGCCACGAGGTACACTTTCGCCTGCCTGGCAGCGGGCATCGCCACCATCTTTGCGGCCGTCTCTTGGTCCCACGAAGCTCTTTTCGTCCGGTTCGGAGTCCTCACTCATCGGTTCGTCCCGGTCGTCCCGCTTTGGTGAACGGAACGTTGGGTGAAAAAAACAATGCTTCATATGGTAAATGGTTCACATAGCAACAAATGGTCCGAGTCCTCACTAATTTGGATGTGGATGGATGTGGTGAATTGGTGGCTTCAATGATGCATTTGCATGAGGAGTGGGGAGTATAACTTATGCTTGTTGGGACCTTTGGAGGTTTGATATCCTTTGAGACCTATCTGGAGTTCCACAACCTAAAGGTTCAGACACAGGCCCAGCTCCAAACTGATGAGTGCGGCTTGCCGCGTTGCCGAGATCTTGGGCGACATGAACTACTGGTACAACATGTGCCTTGGAGTTACTCATTGAATTCGTCAGGCCTTCCTCGTGATATACATAATCATTCCACCTTAGTAGGGGCTAAGCCAAGCCATTGGAGAGTAATCAGTGTCTTGGGCTCTTGAACAATTTCCCTGCGGCGTGCAGTCAGGTAGTCAACCAGTCAGGTTGAGGTTGGATTTGATGCTTATCCCTACATTGCCAGAGTCTCCGGGAAAAAGGGCCACAACCAAACATGTGACGTGCGGTCAGTGGGCGGAATCTCGATGGTGTCGGGTTCGTGGATCGATTGGACGCCATGCACCGTCCGTGGGCGCTCTCCTTAGGCAGCCTTACTACGACATCGAGAACATCAACACCTATCCCTCTGCCGGGGCTCCTTGCATCCCCTCGATGTTCAACGAACTTAGAACCCTTGACAGGATGAATGTCAGTGTCTGTCTCAACTAGAACCCAGTCACAACATGTCACAACAGTTTCAGTATACTATTGTATCATACTGTACTTTTCATATTACCATTTCCAAATACCTGTGGTCTATTTTGAGAGACGTCAATGTGGATCCTGAAAACATACGTCATCTCCTGCCCAAGGTCAACCCAGCCAGGGAGAAGGGACAGCAATTGATGGATGCAGGGCGTGTCTACTTCGAAGATGGCACTGGGTTTGGAGACCAAGGGGATTGACTGGCCAAGATGTTTTCTGGTTTATGCGCCCATTACAACGAGCGTATAGACGTGTACGATGGGAAATGACGGGTTTCGACCAAGCTCTATGGCTGAATAGCAAAACCACAACTATGGATTCTGGTGCAACTATATATGGATTCTAGATATTTCTAGATGATTTCCTGAATCTAGTTCCATTCCTGTCTCTTCTGTTTCAGAATTGTGTCAATTAGATTTCATCAACATTGACTACGTTGAATCCTAGCCTCGCCCCGGACGACATTCACCTGAAATGTGCCTTCCTCATGACCAGCAAGATGGGTGACTCCTGTTTAAGTTTACATGTTTCTTTGGTACCCAGCAAACGAGGCGCTCACTATATGCACACTATATATATGTTGAGTTTCACCTTAAAGGGGCGCTCCCAGGGTTTGCGTTCAAATGACTGGCCTTGCTGAGGGTGTTGGTGGAATATGGAGTTTATGCAGAGGATCTCCTGCAGACATAGGATTTGAAGAGTACGGAAGGAACTCACTGCGGTCATTCATTTCGTGCTGTCCATGCAACACTCACAGGGACCCGCATGCCCCGAAGATAGGCCGGTCAATTCCTCCAAAGCAGCTCTTGTCTTCAAAGAAGAGCTAAGGCTGGATACTTCCAAATCGATGGCGTTCAGGAACTTGGATAGGTCACGGGGAAGAGAGAGAGAGAGAGAGAGAGAGAATCACCAAGCCAGCTGTTCTTTTGCTTTAGTCCAATCATGACATGAGCCCCAACAGGTTTGACTGGGGAAATGTTCTACCCACCATTCGCACTGGTCACCACTGGACGTTTGATATCAGCGTTGTGGGCGGTTCCCAGAGCCGGCTTGATTGGATTGCAAAAGCTCGAGCATCGCTATGTTCATAGCTTCTTGTTACTAGTAGTACGGCCAGGAGCCCCCTAGTAGCTTCTTGCTCGGTTCGTAGCGATGCCCTTTGTTACTATTAGCTTCTTGTTACTAGTAGAAATGGCCTCCAACCTAATAGCCGTGGCCTCCAACCCAGGAGCTTGAGATAAAGAAGGTGCTAAGAAGGTCTACCTGCATCTCCTTCTCTGGCTCTTGCAAAGTGGCGAGTTGACACCAGACTTTGTGACATTGTGGCGAGCTGCAGAGCTCGCGTTGGCACATAGGTACTGCGTGGTGCCCATTGTCTTTGGTCAGGCCGAGAGCTGTTTAGGTGGGTTTCTACACACTGGTCGCTGGACTCCGAGTCGCTAGTCTTGAGGGTAGGGTAGATGATGAGCCGAGACACTGCGTAAAGTGATGTGAAGTGTTAAAAGCTTTGCTTCCCTGCACACACTCCCTCAGCACCAGCATGTGCTTTTGGGTTGCTGGTACCGAGTCTTGTGGTATCGTTGTCAAGAGGACAGATGTAAGCTCTCCCACGTTGTGCAGAGATTGTGTTTTGCCTCCTTTGCCACTCATTTGGAACCTAAGATTCTGAGTCAACTTTGATTCTTTCTCTCTCTCTCTCTCTATCTAACTATCTATATATAAGTATCTACGATCTAAGCATCTCAGTATCTAACTATCTATCTATTTGTTTGTCTATCTTTCTATCTATCTGTCTGTCTATCTGTCAATCTATCTGCCTGTTTGTCTATCGCTGTCTATCTATTTATTATCTAGATACCATCTATCTCTTGCATGCTCATAGACCGGATGCCTTCGGCCAAGGTACAAAAAGCAGCGAGTATTGACGGTTGTATTGCAAAGACCTGTTGATATTCAAAACCATTTGCCTTCTTCCCTTTCAACACCATTGCGGACAATTGTGGATCAGATTGGAGGCCCTTTTAAGGCTTCCACTTCTGCTCAGGAGCCTTTGGCTTCCTATGACTTCTGGGCGGTGGCTTGTCAATCTTCCAGCGTGGAAGAGGGGGGAGAAAAAGGACCCGACTCGTCACAGTGCAACTCTTGTGACTGGGAAGCCTTTCTGAGCCGAATCCTTGTCTCCATAAAGAACAGAAGAGTCCAAGAAATTGCACAAGTCTCAAGAAAGGAAATGACTTGGGTCAACGTACGGTAATTAGTGTGCGCATCCTGCATCAATCTTTGCTGCCACCACTGCAATGAGGTGGGAGTGAACTGCTGCAGTGGCACCACTGCAGACTTCCGTTGTGGAGAGTGCCCTTCCTTTTGGATGGTGGCAAAGACGGTGACTTGCCATTTCTATCTAGCCCACCATTTAGAAATGGACAAGGCCGACATAGGCCAACTGGGAGGGAGCGTGTTAAGGAGTGGGATCATGGCATTTGGTAATTTGAGGGGAGCCGGACCTGTGCTTCCATTATGAGAGGCCTGAAATGGCGTTGACCTAGCAGGGACTGTTGGCAGACCATGTTTGTCTCCAGCCAGGGAATAAATTCAATAGCATGTCATGGACGCCCCTGACAGGGGAGCACAAGGAGGACGTATGACCAACCCCTGGACAATCCTCTCATAGTCATAGTCATACAGTCATTTGTCAATGTTGAGCACGGATTGCCAATTGATGTTGGTAGGGCCTGGCTCTGACACTGGCTCTCATGGAGGTACGACAATCCAAAAGCTCGATCTGGCTTGCGGCTGATGCGTGGCTTGTCGATAACGACTGAACGACAAATCTATCATCGCAGATGATGAGGGTCATGAGGATTTTCCGGCCCCGACAGTGGCGAGAATGCATGGACCTTGGACTAGTCCGGTTTGGATCTGTGAAAGATGATACCTGAGTTTGCAACACGCGTGAATGGTATGTATTTGCATTGTAAGTCATGCCCAGCTTTGATGTGGCATCAGAAACAGCCGCCAACATCGTGGGCACATGCTCACGTGCAAAGGAGAGTTTCCGGGCACCGGGCACCGTTCCATCGTCAATCCAGTTCGTCCGGTTCTGTGGGTTGCACAGTTGCTGCAGTTTTCCTGAATTTCAAGGTATCCTGTCGACAAGTCGATGTTGGACATGTCGACAAGTCGAGGATCACGCCTCGTGTCACGGCCGATGGATCTGGCGTTGGACGATTCGACCAGGCGAGGACCAGAGGCCCTTTTTCCGCCTCGCAGTGCAGCAGGCGGAGGTCACCCAAGGGAGTCGCATGCACTCTTCAGGATTTGAGGTGAGGCCACACCTATATGAAAGGTCTTCTTATGTCGTGTTCTTTTGCAATCCAAGATGAGTATGGTATGATATTTGAAGATACTGTACATTGCAGTACTGTACGATATACGATATACGAGTGTTTCTGCTCATGTGCACTCAACAGCCGGTCTCATCAAGTACAGCCTGTGAGATATGGCGACCCTGGTGCCAGGCAGCTTACAACATCAAGGCAACTCATCCGCTCTTCTTCTACTGGATGCAGGCTGAATCTTTCGTGCCTACTGAGTCACCAACTCGCAAAGAACTGCAGGAACCTACTGAGTCACCTTAGCAACTTCAGTGAACCTACTGAGTCACCTTAGCAACTTCAGGATTGCCGGAAATGGTGTTGTCTTTATACTCAACACACCTATCTATCTATCTATCGCACCATCTGAGGACCCCGTCGCAGAAGTCATGTCGTACCGCGGAGATGGCTTCAAGTGACCTGGTGCAGATTGCTTGCAAGACTGTTTGAGTTGATCCTACAAGCGATGCAAGAGCAATTCCGGACACTGATAGAGTATAGCATCGTATACCCCTTCGAACTTCCGAAGTGGTGGTTTACGTGGAGGATTGCCGAAGAACTGACACTTGTGCCAAGAGCGTGAAGGCGAAGGAGTTATAAGATAAGATTTCTTGTTGAGGGCTTTTGTTCGGTGGACCGTCGCTATTAGGTTGTTGGCCTTTGCTATTAGTTACTTAAGCTATCTTAAGCTACTAGTTGTTATGAAGGCTTTTCTCGGTGGACCCTCGTGGGTTGCTTCGACCTATTCAGCAGCTATCAGCAGCCGTGCCATTGGTCCCAGTCTGGGACCCAAGCCCTCGTGATCCTCTGCTGGAACGGTGTAGACCAGAAAAATCTAGTGTTGTTTGTTGCGGGTGGGTCATCACAATAGGACAGATGCTCTTGCTAGTAGCCTCCCAGTAGAGAACGACTGGGGCGCTTTGTAATAAACCCTTCAGACCTTCAGACTGTGGTGTCCTGTCTGTGGTGTCCAGACTCGGTGGCTTGCAGGTATGCCCTCATTGCCATTGCCACCCACTTTGCTTTCAATCTTCTGTGCGTGGCCAGAACCCCTGATGGGTTCAGACTTCATGAGCTCTGCTAGGATGCAGGCCCAAAACAATACCACATGTTGGGAAGCGCGCTCAGAATCACTCGAAAACCATCGAGTCACTCACTATCCCCCTTTGTGCAGGAACCAGATACACGTTGCTTACTTCTGTTCCATGCATGATACAGGTTGCTTTCTGATGTTATGGTTTCAACTACTCACCTCTCCAGGGCTCAGGGGCCTAGGGTCCTCCTCACGGCACTGTCGCCATGTAACGCAAGAACTGCAGCCACAGTCGCAATTCGTCTGGTCTACGTGTCTCATGGTCATGTTTCTGTGTTCGAGATGTCCCATCGTAGTTTTGCTGCCCAGCCTGTTGCAGTAAACCATCCAGCAACAACATGCAGTGATTTGTCTACTGCAACTAAGAGACGAAAGACGCGTGGCAGGTTGGAAGGTAACATGAATCACAGGGGAAGCTCAGTTGATTCATTCCCAGGCCGGTGCAGCCTTTGCCTTCTCAAAGATCAGCCATGAGTTCTGAGAGAAACTCGACGTGGCGGACCTGAATGGCGGTGAAAAGAAGGGCGGTAAAAACGTGCGGTGTTTATGTTGTGAACATTTAAGCCACATTGTTACTACTAGTAGGCAAACATTGTTACTACTAGTACTGTAAGGCACTTGTTATTAGTAGCGATGCACTTGTTCCTAGTAGCTTATTGTATTTACATTATGCCTACTGTACTATGATTACTATTGCAATGTTTCTTCCTCTCAAACTGTAAGGGTCTTCTGCAGGGGTCCCCTCTGTTTTTGTCGACTAAGACAGATTGCCTCATCATTCAAAATCTCCCAGAAGAACTACTCAAGGGAAACGGAAGGTAGTGTAAGGACCAATGAACAGGTTCCACGTTTGGGGCTGGATGCGTTCTTTCACATGGGAGTTTTCTTGAATCAATCATACATCTTGTTTTTCGCATTTTCTGGGCGTAGAAGGAGCATTTTCTGGGCGTAGAAGGAGACGACACGCAAATCTTCAACAGCTATTGTATAGGTATAGATTTTGCATTCACCTGCAGCAAGGATGCTTTACAATCAGGGTCGATCAGGGTACGTATCAAGACCATCATTCTTGGAAGGTTACTTCGCAGCTTCGCTGCACAGTGCTATCATGTTGACCTAAAACCAATGCTGTCCTTTATTGATCAGGTGACTGGCTTTATTGTTACTGTATTTGATGCATTGGACAGTGCACCGGGCCGCACTGTCGCAGGCCGACCCCTGGCCGGGCGACCGGATCCGGTGCAGTGTTTGTCGAAACACCGTCCCACCGAAGGTTTTAGGATATATACCTAAGGTTTGGTGCGTGCTCTTTGGATAGGGTTGCGCGGTTGCGCCGTTTTTCACATGATACTTCTGGTTTTGGGTGTTCCATTCTCTGAGATTATAGTCTTATAGACGACTTTTGTGAGTGAGTAAGGGGGTGACTCACAGTGACGCCCAAACGTGCACTCGATAGAACCATGCAACGTGCATGTCCTGACTTTCAGCGTTTTGCCCACCCGCAGGCATGTGACAGAACAATGCAGCTGTACAGTGTTGAACTTCTCTCAAGCCAATACGCAGACCTACATGGTAGTGGCTATGACTATATGATGATAGTTGATCACTTGCGTTTTGAGTTTCTGTTTTACGAACAAGAGAACATTCTTTAAGAGGACTATGCTACGCATCGCTACGTTGTACAACCCGCTTGTCGTATCTTTCCTCTCAATGGGGGAGACAAAGCATCAGCCCTTACAAAACAGAGATCGCCTTCTACTGCCTAGACACGTCCTTGCCATGAAAGATGTGGCGACTTGGGTTCTAGGCTTCGCGCTGCTCTCAACTGCCTCAGCCCAGTGTCAGTGCAACAGATACCTTTGCAGGACATCAAACACGGACGAATGTTCGAGGGACTGCCCAGATATCTCGACAAATGGTTTTTAGCTGGTTCCACATGCTAAGTCCACACCTGGCTACGTATCCCCCTCCAGTGCCTCCGATGGGTATCCAAGTGATGGCATTTCAAGCTTGTGGGCAAGGAGTTGAATCAACAATATGTTTTGGCCTCATCTTTGTTCGGCTGGGCCTTAGCTCATTTGACGTCTCTTAATTGTTGCTGGTTTAAACCATTTATATACAGTTGCACAGTTGAGAAAAACTCAGAACCTGCTGGGAGTTGCAGGGTTACAGAACATGGATCTTTCCAGGAGTGGCCAGAATGAGTATGTCTACACATTGCAGCAGATGCCAGAACAAGAGATCATTGAGTCCTTAGCTCAAAGATCCAGAAAGACTGTGGCCAGCCCATGGACTTGCAGTGCATGACCCCAGGGTGGAGTCGAGTTTGTGGCATCGAGGTGCATTTTCGCGAACAAGGCCTACAATCCTCGGGGTGATTGCAAGTACTGCTCCTCTTGTGATGGCACTCTTTGCACGTGGCATGGCCGAAAAAAGGGTTGCCGGGATGTTTGGGATCCTGATCCTGGCCAATTGCCGGGTTCCGTTAGTTAGGCCCCTGAAGAGATCCTGATGATGGTGGCTTTGGGTGCTCTTAATCCTTGGCCATGGGACATCTGGTTTGTTAGCCACCGGAAGGCTTCGCGCGAGAAGGTCCGACATCTGAAGCACTCTCAGAAAAGACTTGTCATTTACACCCTGGAAGACTAACATGGACCCTGAAAACCACTGTTTGGTAGAGGAAAACACTCTTCCAGGGAGCCATTGTCAGGGTCTGTGTTAGTTTTCGGGAGTGTAGTCAGATTTACACTTGACACTTACTTGTCAGTCAAGAGACTTCTCTCCTTCGAAGATGTCTCAGGATCTGGACATGATTCATCCTTCCATTTGGTATGAGACATGCCCAAAGCTCTCAGGAAGTTCTGCAACATTCTGCAACTCTACCTGGGCTAGCGGATTATATACAAGCATGATAGTGTGTCATCATTTTTACATGCAGCTGTCTTTCTTTTGGGGACAAGACTAGATATGCAATACACCAAGCACAAGACAATGGAGTGTGAATCACTTCTCAGGTGCCAAAGCAGCGCGTCCTGTGAGTCGTGCGGAGCTCAGAAAAGGCTTCGCAGTCGTACGGAGCTTTCTGCAGCTTGCAGGAAAGTGGGAAGGAGTCAAACAGCGATTCTTCATGTCAACAGTGAGACGAAAGACACACTCAAGGGCAGTGAGGATGCTCCTTGCCAAGGTTCTTACCCAAAGCAGCAGCAGTGGTTTGCTTGGCCCTCGCGCTACTGCTTCTAGTCATCGCAGTGCGCCCGTGACATCGGTTCGAGGGCTTCGTTGCTGTGTGCCGTTGCCGATTTGACTTCAGGTACGATCCTCCTGGAAATGGGCCAAGGGCAATGTACTCTATCGCGTCGGTTGCCGAGAAGAATACCCATCTAACTGAGCATACAAGGTTGGCCTCTGAAGGATTTCTTATGGTTTCCTCATGTTTCCTCATCAGGTTCTTCAGACTGCTCTTTTGCACCTGGGAGGGGGACAAGATCTGACAAGACTGTACCTTAAGTTTCCCTAAAAAATTGCGAACCAAATGAATAGTGCGAGCGTGAGCTATCCTGCGTCCATACTAGGAGGGTACTAGTAAGGTACTAGCTACCTAGCTACTACTAGCTACCTCTAGCTACTACTCTACCGGCCGTTCCTCCTGGGCCAACAAAAAAAGACAAAGGTACCCTTTTTAGCTTTTTGAGCTACTGGTAGCATTGAAAGACCGCTTCCGACAGAAATCCGAGTCTTGTTTCTTGTTTTTGATTTTCACGAGGTGCGGCCAGACGAGCTACCCGAACTTCAAGAGAAGCCGCAGGTATGTGGCTTGGGAGATCGGGAGCTAAGCCCGCTTACGGCACTTTGTGGAGCCTGGCACTGGCACCTCTTTGCTTGTGCCTTAAACATAGAAGTAGTATGTCCAGACACACTATTTGGCATATACAAGAGCAAAACTCTTATTATGTTTAGCAACTATGTATCCCCATCCTGCACCGTGACTCTTTTTCTTGCCTCCTTATTGACCCCAGAAGGCGCGTATGCTGGCCATCCAGTGGGGTCCGTGCGCCCCGCAAGGTTCCGCTGAAAGTTTGGGAGCGTCGGCCGAGCGTCGGGATGCCCGAGCGTGCCAGCATTTGCGGTGGCTTTGGGTGACTCTGACTATAGGAAAGCTCACACAAATAAGTACTCTCTGCCACAAGAGTGTTTTGCTGGACGTGATCTTTCACGGGACACTACAAATAGCATTTGTCTTCAGAATATATCCAGTGACCGGTTTTTGGACACAGAAGATAGGGCCTTTTTTCGAAACAGACGTTCCGCACGACCTCCCACAACAGACCGGAGGAACGAGAATAGACACATCGCCATCATCGGACATCGGATTGACAAATTCATTGACAGATTGATTGAGGGTTGCCGGCAGTGCAAATCAGATGGGTGCTATTTGCATCTAGTTGGTCAAAGGATGTCAAAGGTATATAAGGTATTAGCTTCTGGGGTCAAGCCAAGGGTTTGGCCCTTCAACAGTCGGAAGCTTCAGCTTCCAGAAAGGTGATGTATCGATCCTGTGTGCTTGAAGAACTTCTTTGCCTAGATCCGCTGTGGATGATGCTAGCCGGAGTCTGGGTGCCACAACCTTGTTTGTTACAACAGACGAGTATCACACAATTTTGGGCCCGTGGACTACCCTTTAGTCATTAGTCGTTCTTCCATTGAGGAAAACCTCTGAATTGCTTGAACCTGAAGATCCAATATTTATACTTCCTTCAGATAACGCTCAGTGTCACTGAGCGTTATATGAATGAAGGAAGTTTATTTATGACATATGTTTAATTAATGACGATGCCCTGCTACCAGTAATCAACCGAATGCGATGCAACTCTTTTGTCCTCCTCAGATGGCCATTTTCCTCCCTGGCGCTGGTTGTGTGCGCACGGGATGACATGTGGACCATTCGATAAGTCGACCAGTTCATCAGATTTCTGGGCTTTTCAATCCATTTTTCTGGTCAAGAAGTTGATGGAGATCAGTCAGTGATTAACACAGCTTGATGTGAGATGACCGGCTGTTTATATATATAGTTGCTGTGTCTCTGGCAGGCCAGTCTGGCCACACCCCACTCCTCTCAAATACAAGTTCCTCTGTCACTTACAGCAATTGAATCTTTTCTTCTACTCTGGGCTTGGTCACACACTCATAGCCAATGCGGCAGTCTGGTGCTGATCTGTTGGGCAGTGCCTGTCTCCTGTTCGGATGTTTGCAAGAAGCAGGTACTCTTCTTCGCTTTGGGCGTTGTGGTTTGGTTTTCCCCAAACATACTGACTCAGGCAAGTGCCCGATTCGACGTCGCTTGCGGTTGAGTGACCCCTACAGATCTGCAAATAGGAAGCCCAAAATGTACACATCCGCTTTTTGCTGCTGGCCACACAGTATCACTATGACCTATGGAGATACAGTCTTTCTAAAATGACTTTCGAGACTATTCCCAGAGTCGAATGTTTGACCTGTCTGCAAGGACCATGTACTCACATGAGGTCTGCCCTTTAAATCCTGTTTGACCGCGCTGGAGGAGTTCTGTTTGAATCTCAAGTCCCTCCATCGAACTCGCAACCAATCGCTCGATCCTGCCAGGAAGCAGCAAGTTGAGGCCAAAAAAGGGAAGAGTAGACAGGTGAAGAGGGTGAAGATGCTGAAGAGTCAAGGTGTTGATATGTCAGTGTTCATTGTTTTCCACACGGGCTCCAATCTTCTTTATTTTGTTGTTTTTTTCAGGTGGAACCATTCGCATGGGCCAGCTTGATATATATATATAGAAGATGCAGAAAGCAGTGAATGGATTTGATCGTTTCGCAGTACTGGACACTGGGCACGTTGCAAACAACTCCTGACCCATCAAAGCACCTTCAAAGCTTTGATTGGGATCCGAACAACTGGAGGGCAACTGAGATATCCGTAGCCAATGATGGCTGAGTATTGGGTTGCTGGCCTTCGGAAGTGCATTGAAGTACTGCAACAGTTGATAGCTCCACAGACACAATAGATGCACGGCTTTTTTTGTTTCGCAGATTGTTGATGCACAGGCCAAAATGAGGCATCAAGCGCACGGTGTCACCATTGTAGTTCGCGAAGCGGAAGCAGGGTGCAGTAGATCACGAGGATGCCTTTTGTGTTCATCATCTAGTTTGGTAATATTCTATGGCGTTGCTCCTTCCTCGTGTGAAGACTGCCCCCAACACCTCTTGGGCATGTTTCGCCCAGAGGTTTCACAATGACCTTCCGTGATGTAGGCATTCGTGGAGCTGGTTTATAGTATTCCTGGTCCGAAAACATGTTGCGAATGGCTCACCACGAAAATTCTAGGATGGAGAAGAACTGTGGCTGGCAGATAGGCACGCCACAGATGTTGGTGGCTCCAAGTTGTCCCAATATGCAAATAGCTCAAAGCGAGGCTTCCTTCATGGCACAAAGCGTATGCTTCTGGACACAAGAATAATACAGCAAAAGCAGCTCGCGCCAGAGATGCTGGGAAGGCGATGCCGAATCCATGCGACCGCGACAAGTTGTCTTGATTGGCCTCAAGGGATCCACGTTCGTCGCATGAGCTGCCTGACGATTTGTGAAGAACCTTCCACCTTGATCATCTCCCAAGTCTCAGGCAACCCCGGTCGTTCCTCGCGTGAAGTGCCTTCAACCGCAAAGCCATGCCTTCCAAAGCGTGCTCGATGGCCTTGGCCGGTGCCGGCGCCTATGCAGCCACAGCCTTCCTAGCGCCGGTGAGCCCAAACGTGAAGCAGCCAGAGGTGCGCCACTTGCGTCAGCAGCCGGCGGCTGGCGAGGCTCCATCTGCGACAGGACCAGGGTTGAAAGCGTTGAAGAAGTTCGGATCGCGTGGAATTTCTGAGTGAATGTTCTTATTTTTATCGTATTTTTACAGTAATTGAGAGATTCAAACATATCCAAGCGGAACAAACACTTTTTTGACTGCGAATGCTCTTCAGGTTTGTTGGCGCTGGGTGCCGCGGGCGTTGCAGTGGGCTGTGCCCAGGCGGGCCGTTCTCGCCAGTCTCGGCGCTGCCAGGTGGTGCGCCAGGGCACCGCGGTGGCAGAGAAGACCTTCACCAAGATGCCCGCCTCTGTGAAGCCCGGAGTGGTCACTGGCCAGGCCCTGGTGGATTTGCTGAACTACGCCAAGGAGAAGCGCGTTTTGGGGGGGGCGTTTTAGGAGCGAGAGAGACTGTTTTTGTTGTTTGGCTGAAGACGCACCGTGAGTCGCCAGGAGAACGAGTTCGCCATCCCCGGTGTGAATGTGGTGAGCTCCAGCTCCGTGAACGCTTGCATGGAGGCGGCCAAGAAGGCTGGTGGCCCTGTGATGGTCACCTTCTCCAAGGGTGGTGGCCAGTTCCTGGCGGGCAAGGCCGCTGACAACACGGATGATGCCGCCTGCATTGCGGGCACCGTGGCGGGTGCGCTTCATGTGCGCCAAGTCGCCAAGTTGTATGGAGTGCCCGTGATCCTGCACACCGACCACTGCCAGAAGGCGTGGTTGCCTTGGTTCCTTGGCCTTTTTCAGCTTCACCACTGCCAGGAGTACGAGACATTACATACAGACATCAGAGTCTCACTTGTTCTGGCCTTCTCAACAGCTCAGTTTAACCAGCTTTCTTTCCAACCCAATCTCGTAGTCATGGTCATTCATGGCCAGGGAGAAAACGGTCAACAGAAACCGTTCAAGCCACACACCTTTTTCCCCCCAAAACCGATGGCCTGATGAGGTTCGATGGCCTGATCGAGGCAAGCGAGGAGTACTTCGAGAAGTATGGTGAGCCGCTCTTCTCGTCCCACATGCTTGACCTTTCTGAGGATCTAGGGATATGTTGATTGATTTTGTCCAAGGGAGGCAGAGTTAAGAGAGGTGCGATCTTATAGAACACCAAAAACCAGTTCAAGGCTTGTGCTTTTGTGCCTCCACCTGTTAGGAGCCTTTGGAAGAGAACATCTCCATTTGCAAGAAGTACTTGGAGCGCATGGCCAAGATCAACCTCCTTTTGGAGATGGAGCTTGGTGTGACCGGCGGTGAAGAGGATAATTGGATCCCAGTCCGACATTCATTTACAGTAAATCACAATTCTCAAAACATGGTATTTTTTGCCCAACTCCATATGGATGGCCAAACTGGTTTTCGCTGTCCACTTCGCAGGACGGCGTGGACAACACTGACGTGGACTCGTCCCGTCTCTACACTCAGCCTGAGGAGGTGTGAATGGGGGGGTCAAAAGCCTTCGTTGGAGTCCGTAAAGGAGCAAGGTCGGAAGCGCCTCTAATGGTAGACATGATGAACTTGCGCATTCCGAATTCCCATTATTTGTTGGAGTTGAAACAGACGTTGCATGCATCCAATGTTCAGCTGTTGATGAAAGATTCGGAGGGTTTGATGATGGATTATGTTGGATCACATAGGTCACTGGTTTGACACCTAGCGACCTAGGGACACTCATTGATTGACTTATTCAATTGAGAGCGCTTGGGATCCAGGTCTGGCAAGTCTATGAGACCTTGTCCTCCGTGCCCAACGGGAACTTCACCGTGGCTGCTGCCTTTGGGAACGTCCATGGTGTCTACGCGCCGGGGAATGTCAGCTTGAAGCCAGTGATCCTGCACAACACTCAGAAGTTCATCAAGGATGGACAACGAAGTCTGCAGCATTTTGAGATGCGCCGCGCCGTGTTTGTCGTTCCATGTGGCTCTACTGCCTCAGAATCTAGGAACCAGATGAATCATGTGAGCGTGAGTTTCCTGCGTCCGGTGCCCCAAAAATGGAGTAGGCGTGTAGATCATGAAGGGCGAGGGCAACACGTTCTAAATTACACAAACGGTGGGCTCAAAAAAGGGGCGGGCTCAAAATCAAAAAAGTTCATATTAGATTGATGACTCGACAGGAGAAGCTGGGCTGCGACAGTGACAAGCCAGTGTCCTTCGTCTTCCATGGCGGCTCTGGCTCCTCCCTGGAAGACATCCGCTATGCCATCGAGGCGGGTGTGGTGAAGATGAACATCGACACGGACACCCAGTGGGCCTTCTGGGATGGCATGAACGAGTGGCTTTGGATTAACAGGTGGTTTGACCAAGATGTCTAGTGTTCCTGGTAATGTGAGCTTCCCAATCTTCTCATTGGTTCATTCATCCCATGCAGCTTGTCAGTGAGGTACCAGAAGAAGAACAAGGACTACCTGCAGGCGCAGATTGGAAACCCTGAGGGCGCTGAGAAGCCCAACAAGAAGTACTACGACCCTCGTATGTCCTTGCGCTCGGGTGAGGAATCCATGGCCGAGCGCTTGGTGAAGTGCATGGAGGATCTCAAGTGCATTGACCGCCTTTGAGAGATCGATCGGATCATTGACGTGTGACATTACAGTGGTTTTGTGATTCTTTCAGTTTTCCTTTCCTTACTGTCATGGAGGGTGGCGGGTTGAAACAAGCGCTGCTTGTTCGCAGCGCCACATGCCGCAGCCACCGCCTGCCTGAAACCATGCCGGAGCACAAGACGGAGTCGGTTCCAAAAGAAATCGTTAGCTGAGTTAGCTGTACGAAAGTTGTTCGTCAGTCAAGGTTGCTTGCTCTTGGCTCATGGCTCTAGAAGCCCAAAACACCCACCCGCTGCGACAGCATAATACCACTGAAAACTCACTTGTTCACGATTGGCAGCAAGCTCTAAATTTACAAGGCTTTTGTTGATGCCGATTGGAAAGGGATGATTCTGCCAAGCTCGACCAGCCAAATATATATATATTTAAAGTTATAATTACATTACTTGGCGACCGCAGAGTTTGGTGCTCGAATTTGAATGATCCAAAGGCGGCCCATTTTTTGGCCGCGTGATCCACGATGGCAGGCTCGGACCCGGCAGAGCCTGGTTTCGACTGGCTACTTGTGATAAACATTAATTGACACTCTTGTTTAGCAATCTACAGTAATTGCAAGGTTCTATTGGCATATCTCAGGAACTTCGCCTGATCTTACCTTGCAGATCCGCAAACACCCCAAGAGTAATGGCCTCCACCCTAGTAGCGATGGCCTCCACCCTAATAATAGCGATGGCCTCCAACCTAAGAGCGATGGCCTCCAACCTAAGAGCGATGGCTTCCACCCTAGTAGCGATGGCCTCCAACCTAATAGCGATGGCCTCCAACCCAAGAGTGATGGCCTCCACCCTGGTAGCGCTCCTTCCTACCTGGTCTTACCTTGGTGATCCACAAACTGACTTGGGGACTCAGGCATTGGGTCTCGTTCAGAGCTCCTCAACCTCCTCGGCGATGTGAAAGCTCGTGTTCAGGCACGGCCACAGCTTTGTTGGCCTTAAGTGAAGGTTTTGTTTTTTGGATTAACATACCAAACAAATCAAAAAGGCAGCAACAGCAGAGTTTGGTGCAATGCTGTCTTCTTGGCAGGAATGCAAAAAGACATGGCTTCTATTGACAGCTTCTGTTTGATCCTCCGAACCAGTCGGTGCGCTTGAATTGAATTTATATATGTAAAACATGAACTATGTTCGAGCTATTTCCAACGAAGGGCTCTAATAATGAGCAGTCCATGTGTTTTTTTGTTGACCAGCGTGACATGGATGGATTGGCGTTTGAGATGTGCGATGT